GCTCCCCAGAGCCTCACCGCAGCCTTGCCCTCTTCTCGGCAGCTGGTTGAATGCCAGCATTGGTGTGAAGCCCATCCAAGTCTCGCTGTTGAATCCCAGGAAGTTGTCAAGGTTCAACCGCCAAACCCTCGAGATGAAAAGGGGTCGGCGGCACCCGGGCGGAGCCCTTACAATATAGGTGACGGTGAGCGGAAAAGGCTAACTGTGAGCAAAGTGATGAAGGCATTTCACAAGGGATCTCAAAATCTTTCGACTTGAGATTCTGGCAAGCACTTGACCAGTGGATCATAGCTTACCACTAAAGACAAGTGCAAAACTCGCTCTATCCGTTGCTTGCAACGGTGCGAAGGGTTCTGCTGGGTGGCTAGGAAGGGGGCCTCCATACCAGGGCTCTGCACCCTCAAAAACCAGTTTCACGACTCTCCCTCACACAGCCAGGGATGCGGTACCCTCTTTCTGTTTGGCACTCATTGGATCTAATGAAAGGCAGGTCTGCATGTCATGATCTCCATGCATTGCCCGATCGTAAGCAGTGAACCCCGCGTTCGGACCTGTCGGTCTTGTGCGATGGCCCTCTGGGAGACCGCCGTGCGTTCATCGTTGCTGGCCTGACCATGTTGGTTCCCGAAGCCGAAGCCGAAAAAAAGGGTAGACTCCTGAAACGTAGGAGCAACAAGGAGCGTCCGTGAAGCTTCAAATAGAAAGCGTCCGTTCCATTCCCGGATAAACATTGCGTGCCTTGCAAAAGGAATTAGATTGTCTAGCCACTGGACCAGTCATCCTCCCAAAGACTTGATATTCGGAGCCTCACTTGCTCCTGCTGTCACTTGGGGCACACAGCAGCCACAGGATATTGATTGGACATCCCGGAAATGTCAAGCACAGCACTCGGTGTCCTTGTCAGGAAACGGAAGGTCGTTGCGCCCTCAAGCTCTCAAGCAACAATCTACATAAATATCATATACATAGTCTCAGGTTTATAGCTTCTCTCCTCTCTCTCTCTCTGTGTCCCTCTCTATCTCACGTGTGCCGGGCCCGCACATCTTCTCTCTCTCTCTCTCTTTATCTAATTGTCAGGAAGTCCTTGTTTCCTAAGCTCTGAAGGTGGGAACATGTCCAAAGCATCATGTGACACGAACAGGTGCACCGCTACCTGGGAAGCACATCATTGTGCTGCCTCGGATTTTATGTGCCAGTTGAAGAGAGCTCCTAGCTTCAATGTAACACAGGTGTGCAGAACACCAGTCGTCATTGTCCGCAACCCCAGTTGCTTGGGCTACTGCTGCAAACTTCGGAATGTGTTTGCATCACATGCACTGTTTCGCGTGTTCTTGCCAGCCGTCATCCCTTAAAGTGCCCTTCCCTGCCCGGCTGTTATGAACAATGGACAAAATGCAGTTTACGGTTTCAAGTTTATTCATGAGTTTGTGCCATGTGAAGCGCGGCATTTTTTTGCAAACTCCTTCAGTCTCAAAGTCCTTTGGGTCACCCATTTGCAAAGTCCACCAGTTTTGTTTTGCGCGATCAAAACAACTCTGGGTGACCCTGGCAACTTCTGTTGCTCTTTTGAAACATTTGAAACAACGATGCAATCAGGCTGCTGGACTGCTCCCTATCAAAGGAGCAAAGGAGAAAGTTCCTATTTGCGCTATTTGCCGCTGACGATTCTTGATCATTCTGCGCGTGATTATGCTTATCAAACACGGGTGAAGTGAAATTAAGTAAAAGTTGATCCTGTCATTGCAACTCAAATGTCATATGACTGACTTAAGTACTTTTGCAACAAATCGCCCTTTTGCCCTGAGATCACGCTTTGCGCTTTGCATTCACTTTGGTGGAAGGTCCTTGACTGCCTTCAACAACACAGTCATCGCCTCCCTCAAGTCTGTGGGCATCTCTTCTCCGTTCACATGCGTTACCTCCCACTGGCTTTGAACGGCCACGTCCTCTGCCACGGAGTCCTTCTTCACAGCCTTCACCACCAAGGGGGTCGACTTGCTGAAGTCCAGACCCAAGGGTTTGGCCCTGAACACCACCTGAACACTGCTGTGGTCAACATCGATTTTTGGTCTCACTTCAAACCAAAAATGTACCCAACATTGGCGATGGCCTCAAACACTGGCAGCTAAACAAAAGGGCTGGGCATGTGGTTAAAAAACAAAACCTGCCCGCCGTGTCCACTTGGAAAACTGGCGATGCATATATATATAAATATATATATATATACTATATATATATGTTTGTGTGTGCTTATTTAACTCCTGCCCCTAACAACAACAGTTGGATAGGTTCTACCATGAAATACATTCTTGCTTTCCTGTTGGGTTAATTGAAGAGTGACACAAACGGGAAAAAACATGTAGCGGACTTGACAATTGTATTGATTGTGACACGAACATTCATGATACAATCTATAACTGTAAATTGCAGCGAATTAGCCGCACACGCCCGCGCGGCACACCGATCTAAGCACAGCTGCTTTTCTCCTACCGTAAGAATCCCTAAGTGTGTCCACACTGTTGGGGGAAAAACATGTAGCGGACTTGACAATTGCATTGATTGTGACACAAAAATTCATGATACATACATATTCCACGGAGTACAAACAGATCGGCAGATCGGCTTGACGCGATCAGCGCAACTTGCTGATCGTTTGCAGAAGTTCGTGTCAAATCACATGGGGATGATGATTCCAAATTTATACTCGTGCAGGCAAATGCAGGTGGCACAGGGAATTCAGAAAAGAAAGAGGGCACGAATCTACCAGAATCTAGTCCAGAGTACCGCTGCTTTGGACTTGCTATTTGTGCCCCCGAAAAGGCAATTTAGGAGTTCCATTGAACACCTGGCATTGGATTTGTTGTGAAAAGCATCTCGTCAAGGGGCGGCCTGTAGGCATTTTGGACATAATATTTGGTTCCGCATGTTCTTGTGCCAAACTTTTCAGGAAAAAGTATTGTTGTAATACGTATGGTTGTCGTTATGCTGCTCCTGTTGTTGGCCTCGGAGGAAAAACCACTGCTCCGTTGCAACAGGCCCATGGGGCCCATGTGCCTAAAACATGTTTGTTTCAATTCAACTGGTTCACTCTTTATGCTTGTCTCTATGCTTTGCACAATCATCCAAATTGGCCTACGTAACTATAGACATGCCTTGAAACACACCTTCACACCAGCAATGTGCATGCCTTTTCATCACGTCAACATGTTCCACACAGGTGGCACAGGAGTGAGTCGATCTGGACCTAATCTTCTCCATGTTTGATCAGGTTTACCAAACAATGGGGAGGTGCTTTCTGGCCTGGCCTCCTTTGAGGTGTTGTCTGGCAGCTTGAAGGTGAAGGTGGCACCACTCTCCTTCATCGGTGCGGGAGCTGCAGCTGGAGGAACTTCTGGCGTCTCGGAGATCCGGCCGTCTTCTTCGAGAGTCTTGAGACGGGGCAACGAGGTCACTTCCTCCACAGGAGTGCCACCATTCCTTAGAAAAGCTTGCCAAGCCAACTAACAAACAACACAGCAATGAACATATATATATATACAAACATATCTATCTATCTGTCTATCTATCTATCTATCTGTCTGTCTGTCTGTCTGTCTATCCATCTATCCATCTATCCCTCTACCCCTCTACCTCTCTATCCCTCTATCCATCTCTCCATCTATCTGTCGATCTATCCATCTATCGATCTATCGATCGATCTATCTACCTACGTAATCTAATCTAAAGTATATATTGTATCCCTGCAAGTCAATGAGCTCATTTTACTGGAGATGGTCATACAAAAACACTACTTAAGGAGGTAAAAGAAAAAAACAGGTTTTACTGAGCTTTGGACTTGTAGGGTATATATTATCTCTACCTCACATTACCTTACCTGTCATATCCTACCCTGTCCTGTCCCATCCTACCTAGTATCTATCCATATCTATCATATCTACTGTATCCATCCATCCATCCATCCATCCAGCCAGCCAGCCATCCATCCATCCACCCACATATTCCTTGTGTGTGTGTGCGTGCATGTATGTGTGTGTCGATCACATCGTCAATCATTGAATTTGGGTGATCCAGAAATCATTGGGCTCGCGGGACTCATTGGTTTGAGCAAGTGAGACTTCTCAGTACTGGACCTGTTCCTTTTTTTCAGTCATTTGCCCTGTGAGGCTGTTGCAAGGACTTTTCAAGCATAATATGACCATGAGTTGTGGAATGGCAAGCCCGCCATTGAATAGACAACATTAACTAAATTATCACCCTCATTGCAAGCCTCCCAAAGATTGGAGAACATAAGAACATATAATTCCTGCAACGCTACACTGAAGCACTTGCAGCTGAAATGGACCAGTCTCTCCAAAGCACAACTCACAGTTCTGCCCAACCCTCCCAGTTCCAAGGATCGTGTCACAACACCCACAAGCCAACATTGGTCGCTTTCGGTGATGCCTTCGCGCCTTCGGCGAGGTCTCAATCCGCGGGGGGCCAATGCTCTTTGAGCCGCGGCCGCGATGACGTCGCGGCGGCGCCGCGGCGGCGGACTTGACGAACCGAGCTCCAAGCGCCCGTGTTCACCCCAAAACAGAAAAGGTCCTAGTAGATTCCTTTGCTAGTAGCTTCTTGTTACTACTAGCGATGCACTTGTTCCTAGTCTGAAGAGATTCATCGCCAGAACAGCCTAAAGGGTTTCTCCAAAGAGTCAAACACGAAGCCATTCGGCCAGTAAAATTAGATGTCGGATCAGATTCCGTGCCTTAAGGGATGCCTCCTGTCACCATCCCCTGAAATCCTTTCCAACAGGTTAAGGGATAGATATGATTTAGCAACTGTTTCTCCACCTGATCGTGGATTGGTGGCATCGATGGAGCCTTTAGGGCTCTCAGCAGCGGCCTGAAACTTGGCCACAGTCGCCTGCCACTGTGCCTTTTCCCGCTGCCTCACGAAACACGTTTCACGTGTCCAAAAACCTTCTGAAGGTGGATTAAGGGAGATTGGGTCAAGGATGCTGGGGCCCCAGCTTTGAAAAAGGATGCGTTTATAGGGTAGCTAGCAGCTATCTCTTTTGTTTTGGTGTTGATGACGTGTGCCGTGCTGGCACTGGCTGTGACATGATGATATGACCATGTGGCCGGAGAAGGACAAAGGACAAAGAACGGAGTAGCACCTTTCTTAAAATCCAAAGACCCTCACCTGGCAGGTGGGGAACAACGATTCGATTCAGTTCAGCTATTCAGAGTGCCAAACAGCCAAACACCACCACAAAGCCAAACTACCTTGAAGTTTCTCTCGCAGACCCCGACATTGTCAGGTCTGATCAGAGTTATCATCAAGGAAAGCAAACTACTTTCTTATAGCTAGACTCTTACATTGTAAACACAATTGAACATTTGATTTGATTATATTGATCAGTTGACTTGTGTTTTTGCTGGCTTTTCAAGTACGTATATTGAACCGAGCCTATGGCACACACATCAATGAGATTGTGGCTGGGCTCCGGGCAAGTCAGTCAGCACCTGGCACTCTTGTGCCGACCCCACGCATCATGCATGAGCGCAGGTCGGAAGACTGTCCTTCGGAAAGGGAGAACTTCTCATCTGCGGAAATTATGTGTTCTTGATTGAACAAGCACCTTAGGTCTTTAGTGGTAGAAACACATCAGGGGGGCTCATCTCCTGAGGTCACAGTCTGTGTGGCTTCGGAGGGTCCAACTACCCTGGCAGGTAGTTAGATGTAGTTGGAGTCATACGGGAACAGCAACCCAAAGTCCATCCAATTCCCACACTGCCTGTCGTGTAGTGGCGAGGCGTTGCGCTTGTAGCTTCTGCTCCTAGGGCAAACATCAGGTGGGAGACACGCGCAGTAGTTACTTAAAGCAGTTACTGAACAAACCCGTTCACAAAAGGGGGTGCTCATCACTGACACTATATAACATTATCTGGGCAGACAAGCTGCGCCTAAGTGGTGGATGATGTTCAGTCCCTCAGCTGATGATAAAGGTGCATCCATTCAATTCTAAAAAGCTAGTGGTGCACAGTTGACGTTACATTGTCCCATAGGACCCCTTAAATGGAGAGTAACTACACTTATGACATCGCACTGCTCCCTCATGCGCCCTCCACACCAACAATTGACCAAATAAGAATTCACAGGGGAACTGAGGGAACTATTCGATATTCTCTGGAGGTTCGTGCCTCCAATGGCTGACAAACTGTGGCACAAACTTGCCCAGAAAACGCCAACCGTACGGTTTTTGCTCGGGTTTGTCAGGGACTGAGTGAGTATGCAATATACATCTCACAGTGTAAGATGTGCAAATGTACATGTCTACAAAACGTGTCTATGCATATAGATATGCACAAATGTATATACATTTATATATGTTCATAATTATATGTATGAGAGGCGGCGTGTTTCAATACTCAACTCCAAACAACTATTATGTATTACATTGTATTACTATCTATTATGTCGGCGCCCTGTCTCGGTTGGACTACTTATATAAGTCGTAGGAGGACATGTCATGTCCTGTTTAGTAGCAAAGCAGCAAATCACTGTATCTCGTTCAGACTGCTTGAGTGTCATCTGTCATCAAACAATAGTATCTTGTTTATGTAGGGGGTCCTATCTCGTTCACCCAGGAATACTGATGTTGGACCAGCAAACGGAGCACGCCATATACTGTTTTTGCTCGAATATATCAATAATTCAATAACTAATATATAAACATAATGATGACAATATATGGTCCTGTCCAGCATAGACATTCTCTCTCACACACGCATACTACACACGTCACTTTTCTCCTCATCTGTTCTAATTGCATCTGATTATTGCGTACAATTGTAGTTGCAGTTAAGGTCACCAAAAACAAATCAACTCAAATCCATTCAATTCCTGCATTTGTTCCAAGGAACAAGGCCAAGCTAAAATCCTGCGAATTCCGAGGGGGTTCCCTGAAACGTCAAATCAAGAAACCATCTGATCAGCAAACATATTTACAGTATTAGACAATATGATAAAATTAGATATTAGTAGTGCAGTAAGGACACCTACTGTGTGAAAGGGCTTTCATCTCCCGCTCAAACTCACCAATTTCTCCTCTTCCAGCTCTGCCACTGTGTGTTGGGCATCCGCCTTTTGCTCCCGTGCAGGGGAAAAGAGCTTGTGGCCGCCGCTAGCGTTGCGTTGGCCTTGTGGAATGTGGGCCGCCGCGCAATCTTCCCAACCAATCAACCTGCAACTCAACTTCAACCAAACTTTCAACCTCAGCTAAGCAACCAGGCAACCAATTGACTGAAACAGCTGGCCTCTAGCAAGCAACAAATGCATGTACCAAAACGGAGTGCCTCCGAACCAGGGGGCAAAAACAACCGAACCCAATTTCTGTCATCAATAGACCGCAGCCCTTGGGTATTGAAAGGGCCGTAATATGCAGCCATCCTTGTCCAAGCCTCTACAACACTCTGTGGCATTGACTCACACGAACACGAGAAACACAAGCCAGAAACGAGACTAACGTTGGCAAAACAAACATGAGTACAAACATGACACAACACTTGACTGGACCCTTTCCAAACATCTCCAAACCCTGATCTCACCTGTGGTGCCCCGCTTCGAGAGCTGATCGCTGCCCGTGCGGATTTCAAGCTATGGATCCGCGATCTGGGCGACCAATGGCAAATCACACACATTCCATGGGACTGACATATTTGTGTTGCATTGAATTGGGGTGGTTTGGCGGGTCAATGTAGGATAATGTAGGCATATATCTTCCCTCTTTGGGCTAAAATCGCTAAAAGCCGAAACAACCGACGCGCGATCATCGAAATCGACCTCTTGGCAAACCAAACATTTAGTCTCCGGTCTCCCGGGTTTGAGCCCAGAGTTGGATTTGGGAGAGTGTTGATGTTTGACAAAGAGGTCCACCGGGGCCCCGGTTTAGTTGCAAGACACGAGACATCGACCTTGGAAGAGACATGCAGGGAGCGGATTCAGGAGTTATACAATCTGTCCATCGTAAATCCAAACAAATAATAGTAACTGATATGTAATTCTCTCTAGTATATATATATAATTGATGCTTGGATACGCTTGGTTGCCAAAAGAAATGCTGCAGTGGAGGCTCCGAGTCAGAAGCCCCCCACCCTGTCAAAGGAAACCCATGGAAAACCAGTCAGAAGCCGACGCAGGGTGTATTTAGCCTTCAGGAATTCAAGCGGAAGACAGATGAGAAATTACATAAATAGACAGGGTGTATCTTGCGGATCCTTCAAAAGCTCGAGATGAGAGATGACACCCCAACCGCACGAGGGCTGGATACACGTCCCTGCGAGCAAGGAAACCTGCCATGGTGTGAAGGTCGACGTCCCCTCTGTCCACCATTGGTCAACAGTATAGGCATAGGTGCCTCTGTATGGAACAATTTGCTTACCTCACGCACAGGTATAGATCATAGATGATCATAGGTTCTTTATGGCGCATTGCTAGGTTTTTTGGACATCCAAAGCCTCACAAACCATCTTCCCTTCAAACACCATCTTCATGTAACAAAAAAGGATGACAAGCTAGTGTCAAACGGAGAGATCAACAACAGGCCTTACTCTCACGGTTTTTTACGTACCCTTTTAAAGGCTCTTTTTCTTTTTTGGTTAAGTTAGGTGACCTGGAAGGTCAGATCCATGAGCAGGACACGTTAGCGATTCAAAAGTTGTTTTTGCAAACATGTGATTTGGACAGGTTAGCTGCTTAGAGGTCTTTGGCTTGCAATGTGATCCTGGGAATCTAGACTAAAATCATTATCACAAATCCTGGTGTGGGATACTGAGTGTTGGCAAGTGAAGTGCTGGTGTCCCGCAGAAGTGTGGCTCCCTTGCTTTGGTGTCTTGGTGGAAATGTTTGCGCGGACAATGCTAACATGTCCGTTTACGAATTTAAGAAACCCGAAGATTTTGCCAAAAAAGAGCTAACATAGCCTGTCACAAAAATGGGCATCTCTTCTGTGATGGGACAGGTTAGCAGTTTTTCGAGGCATGTTCGGTCATGTTCAAATCCTTATGATACCGTTTTCTCCGGTTATTCCCCAGGAAATACCGCTCTAGTGCTGAACATGTTAGGGACTAGTTCCAAATGCACCTCGGGACACGTATATCTGGAAGAGTGTAGTCTCCAAAAACCCAAGAAACAGTAGCAGTAGAAGAATCACTGGCCTTAGGGATCCGCATCGTCAATTCTTACCTTCCGCTATGGGATCAATATGGATCAATCAGTGAGGACACGTCAGAAAGGAACGGCGACAATTCCATACTTGTCCAACTGGTGCAAGGATCTTTTGCTGCATGCCCAGCATTCCCCCAAGTGATCTCCATCCAAATTCACACGAGCCATCATGAGACTACTTTTAGTCGAAAGCATTTTGGCCCTCAATCTAGAATCTAGACCAAACAACATGAAACCAAAAAGAATCCACAGAAAAAAAAAAAAACACATCCTGCACATCGTTCGAGACATGGCCCAAACAAAGACCCCGAGCCCGTTCACCTGGTCGAACCGAGCCCAGAACTCTCAGCATTCGACGCTGGTCTCTCGAGCCCCCGAGCTCCAACTGCTCTCGTGCCACCAGCGCTTCTTCCCGCAGCCGGCCGTGGTCGCCTCAGGGGATGGAGAATCCTTGCCGGACCGGTGGCTGCTGAGGTGTCCCGAGTTAGAACCTGCATGCGATATAGGAAGGAGAAGGATGATGCACTGTTGCTCGAAAAGCGCACCCTTCCTGGCTGGATGCTCTAGACTCAGTAGTGAAAACCCTGTGTGACTCTTGGGCGTACCATTGAGCTGGGTCAATCTTCTGCCTTGAGAGTCCACTAACGTCCACTGCTCCAATGTGTTCTGCCAGGACTGTCAGGAACCCGGCTGATGGCAAGCTCTCGGTCAGCCCTGGCACCACCGAGCAGGAACGAGGTTCATGTCTTGTCTTTAGACATAGAAAGCCCGTGCCATAGGCTATACAGCCTATACTCTACACTAGCACGAGCAAAATGGGTGGGCCTCTTTGCCTGTAAGCAGCTAACGGGTGCTGGAGACCACTTGCAACTAGCAGCTAGCAGCTAGCATCCTCCAAGACTAATTAACTGCAAGAAACCACAAAGAGCACCCTGTGCTCTCGAGAGATTAACGTTGCACTTTCAAGACTTTTGAATCACAGGTGCCAGTGACAGCAGGAATGTGATTTGGTTCAATGGATGTCTCAAAACCAGATTGGTTGGGGAACATGTGGACCAATTATGGGGGAAGGTGCTTGCCTGTGTGCTCTCACTGGATGTCAAAAGTCATCACACATCTGAACGGATCTCCCAGAAGCTGCCAAGAAACTTGCCCAACCATGCCGTTGTTTCGTTGTTGAAGGCTAAGGTTTAAACCACTGTCCAAATCCGATCAAGTGTCCAACCCTCAGTTGCATGGTGCTGTTCTTGCGACAGGACCCCAGAGACACTCCACGGCCAACAACTGCGCACGTTGCATTCTTTACAATCACTTTTGTCCTCCTGAACTCTGCCGCACGTCATTTCCGTGGGGCATTAAAGGTCAAGGTATTGTGATTCAAAATGTCTGAACAACAAGCTTGGAGTCTGCCCTGGTTGCCATGCCCTGACCGAAAGACTGGTGAAACTTGATCACAGAGGCCGGTCCGAAAGACTGGTGAAAGCCTTCCACCCTGAGGAATCGGTGCATCCTGAAAGTAGTCTTGATCAAACTTCTGTGCCTCTTAGATGTTTTGTCTAGATGTCTGTGCCCCCTATCTTGATTATATAGATCCATCGTTTATCGTTTGGTTCATGGACTTGGCTTAGCCAAAAGAAAAGGTGCGATCGTGTTTTTGGGATGCGATGCCAACAGTCGACAAAGACCACCTTTAAGTAGGCAACGCGGCATACTTAAGGCTACTGCATCTCGTGGAAAGAAGGCCCCTCGTCCCAATCAACGGTTCCCAAACTCTTCAAGCAACTTGCGGCCATCGATGGCCTCGTTGCGGCCGGACATCGGCGGACCTCGACTTCCTCCAGACGATCCGGTGGAACTGTGGAACGAGGCCCCAAGCGAAAGACACTCGACAAGTCCAAGACATTCGAGGTGCAAAAGGGGCTTCCGATGTTACAGGATTGTACAACACCACAGCCATCCACAGCCTCCGAACCATTCACCCTGAGTGTAAGTTAACGTTTCCGTTGGTGGTCTTACAAGACTTTCTAGACCTTTCTGGCCTTGTGAGGTTCACGAGGGTTGCTGACCGTGCATCATCGACTTCCGCTGTGAACTGCGAATTCAATGGGGCAACAAAAAGCGATAGATTCTATATAGATGTATTCCTCTCCGCCAGTTTTGGGATTTGGGAGGTCTGATTGTGGGAGATGTCGCTTGCCATCCTATCAAAACGAGAGATCTTACCTCCTCAGCTCAGGGACAAACAGGACAACTGATACAGGATGCTGATGTGTTCAAAGACCCTGAGGCGCCATTATTGAGGGAAGGCACATTTGTGACTGATGCTGCAAATCTAGAATCCTGTCCATTCACCATCGGGTAGTCCTCAAGCAGGTCAGTAAATTTTGTAGCTGGACCTTTGCATGGTTTCAATGGCGTTGGCCACTTGGCTCCCGCAATTCGGCAATGGTGCTTTCATACCGTTCTCTCTTGAACTACGCTGCTGCAACATCCATACGGACACATGGCAGAGTCACCCCTCTCAAGCATTGCACCAAAGACACCATGTGACCCATCGGAGTTTCAAGTCGCACCTGGAAATACATCACCTAGTAGCGATGGCCTCCATCCTAATAGCTAACTATCATGACGTACCACCCTCTAGAGGCCTTACTCAAATCCGTTCCGACTCGGTGCGAGGGCAGCGGTGCAGCCGGGCCCCGCACGTGTGTGGACGGGTCCAAACACAAAAGCAGCAAATCCTCTATGTCCTGCAGCCGTGGTGTGGACACGCGTGTGACGATCCTGGACTGAGCGGGGTTGCAAGGTGGTCACAGTTGGACGAGTCGCACAAAAAGTTACCGGTAAGTCTGCGGGTCTGGTGATAGGGCAAAGCAACCATGTACCAGAGCACGCCTCTTCAACATACTTATATAAGTCTTACATTGTTTTACCATGTTCTACCCTATAGACCTCATTCATGGAAAGAAACATCAATCAAATGATCTTATCCACAACCGCTTCAGTTTCAGCCCTTCTCCGGGTGTCCTCGTGTGAAAGGTCCCGCCCCAGGACCTAGGTGGCATTTGAGCAAAAAACCTTGCATGGACGAATTGATCAAGCAGGTTGGTCCAATGGTCCAATTAAAAGGGTCTTAACTTCTGCAAACTCGCAACGTTGAGCTGAAACCTCCCCAGGACTCCAACTACCTCGTTAGCTTCGTCTTCTTGTGCTGGGTGGCTTTGGAGCTGTCTAAATTCTGAAACGCTTTACTTTCTACATACAGTAAGTAGAACATCATATATCATGACATCTTCCACCTGCTCTGCATCCATGTTTGCTGAAGAGTAACTAGCTTGAAAACCTCAGCAGCTATGGCAGCTATGGGCGGCAAACATTCGGAGAAAGTCCCAGCCGAAAGAAGTGCCAGTTGCGCTTCATGCGGTGCGGTTGTTTTCCACTCAGTTAGGCCGTTCTCACCTTTCACACATACACACACTGTCAATAAACATATGCAATTCATAAGCGGGCCAACCCAACCCCCCAAACCATGAGAACCCTCGAGCGCAAGCTGTCCCACGACTTTGCCTTGATCACCACCTCTTAGAAAGTTCTTCGACATAATCTGTTTTCCCTCCAACTTACCTACTAGTACTACCCAAACACTATATATATAAATAAATATATTATATATAATTCCCGGGAAACATCCTGCAAAGCAATGCCCTGAACCACTTGGGATTGCGTGCCAAGCTCATGGAATTCCAATACCTGAATCACCAACTGCTGAGAGCTCTGACATCGCCACAAACCATCTTGAATTGGTCCTGGAAGAAGCATGTCACACACAAACGGTCTTCTCAAGCTAAGCACTTCTCAAGCAATCAACACATACATGGCTATATTTTCTGCTGGCAATACAGCCAACGCAGGGACGTGTATGAATTCAAACGGGCCACCTTTCAAACAAGGCATAGTCCATGAAAAGCTGGATTCCAGATCTCATCGACTCCAATCATCATCATCATCATCATCATCATCATCATCAGGTTGGACTGCATGGCTTTCTCGGAATCATAGTCGGCATCGTGTGTGACCCTCCAGGAAGCCATATGGGGTCTAAAGGGCTGATCATCCCATCATATCCCGTCATATCGCATCTCTCCACATGTGTCAATGGTGCATTGCTTCATTCCACCTCGTAAAGCCGGACTGGAGTAGTGAATGGTTTAAAGACACACACATCAGGTCCAACCGGTCACATTGATCTCATAAGGATTCGAGCCACACCCACTTGGACTTGACCCCAGCAAACGTCTGCCGAACACGCCCCTGCATGGGTTGACCCGTCCAAACACCGAGGGAACGAACCACCGCGCTTCGGAACGGTCCGGGGTCAGCAGCATGTCGCTGCGCCAGACCTGGCGTAGAAGAGGCGGCTCAAGGGCCCCTGACCGAGCAACTGGGCAAGCCTTGTTTTCCACCAGGGGTAGTTCATGCCAATGCAATTGAAAAACAAAGCAAATTGAGCCAATCACTGGGCCATCTACCTGCAAAGGCTACTGCTTCACCTTTCTGTGTTTATTGGGCAACGGGCTCGTGCTCCTGCGGCCGCAAACCCATGCCAGTCAAAAGTACGCGCATGTGAGTAAAGGCAAAAGCACTTTTTTGCCTCAATGACATGAAACAAACCACATCGTTCAGCTGTTTTTTCCTCTGAACGTGTGAAAACATGGCTCCAGGGGGCTGTCCCCAGATCGCAAAGATGTGAATATCGGAACGAAATGCAAAACTTCCAGGACCAAGAATGAGACTGCCACAATGTGGTGGGATATCACCCACTCACCCCCAAGCACGCCAGCTGTCCCAAAGAACTTGATGATATGGTGTTTAAAACTGATGGACTATATGTAGAAATCGACTACAGTATATATGTAGAAATCTGCATGCCTATGTAGACATCAGTCTGGACAGTCGCCCAGGTCTGACACGAGTCCAAGAAGTCTGACCCAATGTTGGAAGCCCGCCCTTGTGTCGCACCTGGAAAGCCATTTGAAGCTCCTGATGTGGGTACGTCCACGACCGTTCTACGGATCTACGCTCAGGTTGATGTGGTTGAAGCTCTCACATAGGATGTCATGGAATGCGCCTCACGCAGCACAATTGAATTAGGGTGTCACTTGGCAAGGCTCGGGAACACACATATGTCACGCTAACATTCAATTGTTGTGGTCTCCTAATTTGTCTCAACCCTCATTCATGCAACAGCCAGGCCATGCTGGCGGGGGCTCAATCCTATGATTCACTTGAAAGTGGCCCTATCTTGGGTCTATCCTAATACCTGTAACAGTGGATGATGATGGTTAGTGGAGGATGTAGAGGCCTTGTTCACAAATAGTGATGATTGTTTACTGACTGTTACAGGTCATATGACAAACCCGAGCTGAATCTGGAAACTCAGGATCCGAATGTGAAGCAAGCTAATGGTGCCAGTGGGCCAACCGATACGCCTCCACATGTTTTGCGAACAGCGAACATCGGTCCCAAATTTGAGCTGCGACAACGAAGGCCATATGAACTCTTAGAGACTAACATGAACCAAACATGAACCATTCTAAATATGTGCATATGTAAATATAGTAACATAAAGTAACCATGCAAATTCTTGGGAAGGCGAACCTCTACACAACATACATCAGGAACCTCGATGGATAAATGCTACATTACTTTCAAAGAAAATGGAACAAACCTCTTCACTTTCACTCGGGGATCGACATGGATTATGGATCCAACATAATCCAACAAAGACCTCTGTCACTTTGGGTCCCTCGGAATCCCGAGGCCTCAGGACCGAACAAGAAGGGGCGCTCCGCTTCGCGTCAGCTCCTCACGGTTCTTCTGCGCAGCCACTTTGACCCGCGACAGCCAGGCAGCCATCGCCTCCTCAGACCTGGAACAATGGGGGTTCGTGGTGTGTGCTTGGGCACTGCAAATAGACACCGAGACATGGCGTACAAATAGTATCAAACTATTATATGTATAGATATGTTATATTTAAATATATATATATATATATGTGGTTATATATAGTATGTTACAGTGCTGTTGCTCAAAGGACACACAGGGATCAAGATGGAACCTGAAAATGATCGAGATCCTCCTGAACATAACCAGTCTCTATACATTCAAGAATGACGAGCTCAAAAGCTGTGTCAATACCTCAGGCCCAATAGCCCACATGAACTTCCCCCATGCCATGTCTCCTCTTTGAAGCTACCCCAAGTTTGGGGTGGTTTGTTTCGATGCTTTCGGAGGGTCAGTGTCCTGAATGTCCCGGGCCAGCCTAGTGGTCTCATCCATTGGCAGCAGCCTCAGTGAACCAGCGCTTTGTTGCGCATTCTATGAAGCAAACATCTACGAAAGGAATAACTTGATGAAAAGGAACTGTCGTGACAAGATCGTCGAGGGATGTTGAGGGCAAGGGAAGTGTGCCCCCCCGAGGGCCGAGCCACTACGAGTCAACCTCATTGCCCTTGTTACTAGTAGCTTCTAGCTATATAATAGTAGCGATGCACGTGTTACCAATATCGATGCACGTGTTGCTAATCGCGAGAGTGCAACACCTGTTTTCCATTCTTAAACAAGAAGTCCGGAGGTTTATCCTGTTCGATACTTGGGGATCTCAGGGGGTGTTCATCGAAGGTCGCTGAAGAAAACACATCCATGTCTGGTCACAGCTCAAAACGAGTGATCGCGCAAATAACATCCAATTTGGCCCCTGGTCCGATAGGCTTGCCGATTCCAAATCACCCCAATCGAGCTTCGTTGCGGCCGAGACAGGCTGTGCACATGTCAAGCCATGGTCACTGCAAAAGACAACAGCCTAAATATGTTGTACATCAAAAAGTGTTTGTATTATAATGTGTTGAAAAACTGATCATTTGTTGCAGCTGGACCCTTTAAACATCCCAGTGCTCCCTGGCAGTAGGTTCGCTGCGATCCATACACGTTTTCCTCGGAAGCCCCACTTCCAGTACTCCCCTTGCACCGAACCTAGGGGGCCTTCACACGCCACGGACACCACGGACACGCCACCTGCAACCTGAAGCATATGGAGTTTTGGGCCACCTAGGGCTGCTGATGTTCAATAACACCCTGCTAGGCCAGCATCGAAAAAATGAAACCACCGAGGAAACTGCATATATATATATATATGCAGAATTATACATATATATATATATATGTAGTACTGATTTCCGCATTCATTCTGCCTTCTATGATTTCTGCCTTCCGCGCCTCCTTTCTTCATGTCTATACCCCAAACAAGGCACCCCCATCCTCGCCAGGCCACGAGCTGAGCCGTTCCGAGCCGAACTTCTGCCAGGCCTACAGCGACCGGTCGAACGGAGATCGACCGACACACGAACGGTGCGGATGTACAAATGTTTAAAGGCCTAGCTAAAAGTATTGGATGCTCCTAGTAACTAGTAGTAAGGCCAGGAGCCCCTAGTAGCTTCTTGTTCCATGTTGTAGGCTACCTGCTATTTCCAGGGATCGATAAAATGACGTATAGCATGTCTGTGATTGTCTGTGTATGTACAACGTGCCGTGGCCGGGTCTGAATCCCAAGCACATCAAAACAATTCAAAAAAACACATGCCAGCAATGGGTCTGTATGAAGGAGAGGCTATGCTGCATGTGCATTACATGATTTGTTGCGTCGCTCCGCATCACTGTGATGATGGCCTGCATTCTAATGAACATTGAACTAATTAACTAGAATGAACCGCCCATCTTTACCGCCCCAAGCGACCAATGTCCGACACATCAATGGATCGTACGAGGAAACTAAAGGGCCTGTCCAGCACAGTAGTCCACCGATTTCAGGACTTCCACCCCGAGGGCATCTCACTCCCGCCGACGGGTGGCCGCACCCAAAGGTGACCCCTGCTTCCAGCGAGTGTCGGGCATATCTCGGGTCGCTCATAAAGGAGTCTATGGCCCACTATTGCTAGGGGTGGATGTACTTGAGCTTCTTTTCCAAGAGCCAGTGAGAACTCACCCTCCCAAACACCAAAGGCTCAAATGATCCCCGAGAATAGACCTGGCATGCGTGTTCACTCACTGGGCGACTCTTGTGGAACAACGACCGCCGCAACGGCCGCCCAAGAGCCTCCACCCAAGCAGCCGATTCCTGTGGGGGCAGCGCCAGCGCGGAACCTGCAGATTGAAGATGGTGCCATCTCTAGGAACTCATGTAAAGAATAATATTACACAAACGTTTACCCCAGTGTAGGACGGGTATCGTAGGACACTATAGAGTGATCAATGAAGTCATATTTTTCAGATGCATGTGGACGGTCGGTCCATCAAGCGAGTGGAAAATGGCATGGTCCGGATAAGTTCCTTTTTGGATGGCCTTCACTGTGTCGAAAAACATGTTTGGAAATCCAAACCAAAAATGTCTCATTGCATTACATGGATTTTGTTCTTGAGCGGTTCCAGGCAGCACCCTGTAACGTCTGCCACGTCCCTTACTAGAATCTGCTCTTCAAAGCTGCTTGATGTTCTGAAACAGCTTCTTTCGTTCTGTCTGGATTGGTGGTCGACCCTGCTTGCTCAATCTGTTCTCAGTTCTTTCTCTAGCGGCCTTCTGGTATCAAACAAATTCTGGCGAAAATCGTTTGTCTTCTACTTATCATTGAAGTTAAGCGGTGCTTTTTCTCGGCTTTGCTTTCTGGCCACTGTCGCACTTTTGGCTATCTCACCACGGTTCTTGTTCCAATTGATGTCCCTCATGCTCGTGTGGGCACAAACAATAAGACATTAAACATAATATATCATAATATGCCTTCATGTCCGTTGATTATGTTCTTTCGTTATATAACTGAATGTGATGCATAAATAATGCTGGAGAAACTGCACCTTCTGTCCTAAACAGGTGTGACATGCGCTCGGTATGGCTCCCAAAAAGTCTCCCAAGGCCGCACTCGTGCACTTGAAATGGGATTCTCCCTTGCCTGGGGACCACTAAAAAGCACCCGCAACCACAACCAATTCCAAAACTTATAACAAACAAACAAACAAACCAGCTGGCTGAGGACGGACACGTAATGTCGGCAGTGCGAATGCTCAGCAATCTTTGGCTGTAAGATTTCGTTGGGGCACGATCAAGCACCCATGGGATTTCCACACGGGAGACACTTGAAAGGTGAAATTAAAGCCGGTAGATGCAGAAGGGGAACATGCTACAATTTTGTCGTATGCATCACCTGATGTGCATGGCAACAAAAAGCCATCCGTCTTCTTGACACCCACACCGCACCGCAGCCTACCGGCCTCCAAAAAGGGCTTCTGCCTGGCTCTTGCTGTCGATCGCTTGGAGCTGCCGCAGCAGCTCTTCGCTACAAAGTCCTCTCCTCGCGAAACGCTTGGGTCCAGGGTGGGTGGGAGGATCTCAGCACAGGTGCTGTTGTTTGGCTCTCTGTCCAAGACCTTGATGGGGTGAACCATGTTGCTGATTCGCTTGTTTGCTTGCTGGTTTGATCAATTGGCGCTTGGTGACGAACTTAGATAGCTAAATAACTTGAATAGCTAGCTGCTAGCTTGAGTGCTAGTATGTCCATAGCCGCAAATCATATGCAATGCAATGTTGCCATGATATGTTTACTGTAAGTGTGTTCAGTTCTGTTCTGTTCTGCTCTGTGGTGTTCAGTCCAGTTCCGCCATGCAAGCATGTATTGTTGTGTTGTTGTGGCTGGTCATTGGCTCTCTCATCTACTCAGGCAGATGTGAATGCTGGAAGCGGGGAACCCAAACACAGCTCTCCCTATTCACTATTGCACAGTCCCCACGCCCCCAAGTATCTTAAGTACTACCCCATCGCTCCTGAGGCAAGCCCCGCGTAGTCCCTGCAGCTCTGGGAGCTTCTCGTTGCAGGGACAAGGTCCCAGTCTCTCCAGCAGCACCAGCAACTGAGCACAAGTCCGACAAGTCTCGTGGCATTTCAGGGCAGGTCAGTCGGTCGGTCTGGGTGCTTGCGTCATCTGATCTGCACGGGTTTGGCCACAATTCTTGAGGCACTGCGTAGCATTAGAAAAACCATCCTGCTCAGTGTCCGGTAAAATATGTAAACGGCTAATAAACAACCCAAAAAGGAGAAGATCAAACAAGCAAAAAGAATCTGAAAGATCCCCTGGTTATATACTTTATCAGCCTGGAAGCGTCTGAAAACCGTCCGGCTGAAACACGTGGAAACCGATGGACGATGAACATGACACCTCAACAGCAGGGTTTCGAACATGGCCTTCTTGGGAAGGGTGAGCAAGGATCTCACCACAAGTAGAAGACTATTATATAACTAATATCAATTAGAACATTATAGCACACACTAATGCACATGCACATAATTCTGGAATAACAAGGATTCTACGTCATCCAAACTGACTTGGGTGGATAAGGACAGGTTGGCATTTCAAAGGTACCGTCCCCGGAAGCGGGTGACGTTGCTGGGCCGCTTGACCGAGGCCTCGGCTATTCTGCACCCGTTCTCCTCCCAGTCCCATTCTGGGGCGATCCGACATCCAACCAGCGGATCTTCTCGGGATCCTCAGAGAGCCCACCCCCATCCTACACAAGTGAAGATTGAGCAAAAAGTCTCCCCTTTTTGAGATGTTTGGCTCAAGATTGTTTTTTCTAGTCGACCTTTGAGCAAGTCCTAGTAACTCCCAAATTTCAGGGGTGAGCTTTTGGGATGCTATCCATGTTCGAGCCACACCTGGCAACAAGAAACTATACAGAAAAAACACCCCAAAACCGGCTTGAGTGGTTGGACCTGCCCCCAACTCTGTGACGGTGAAGCATCATGCTTGATAGTCAGGGGTCTCTCAAAAAAAAGAATGTGTGGATTGTGTGCATCATGATTGATAGTCCAACCCAGCAAACATCGACCATTTCGGTCCTCTTCGGCCCCCAATGAATCCAACTCCCTCGACCCTCCCGGGAGGTCGGCGCCGTTCGATCACACGAAACCCACATGCCCATCCAACAAGACCTGGACAAAATAGCTTCTTGTTACTAGTAGTACGGCACCTGTTACTACTAGCGTGGCATGGCACTTGTTTCTAATAGCTTCTTGCTACTAGTAGTACGGCACCTGTTACTACTAGCGTGGCACTTGTTTCTAATAGCTTCTTGTTACTAGTAGTACGGCACGTGTTACTACTAGCGTGGCACTTGTTTCTAATAGCTTCTTGTTACTAGTAGTACGGCACCTGTTACTACTAGCGTGGCACTTGTTTCTAATAGCTTCTTGTTACTAAGACTTTGGGGACTGACACCATTCCTGAATTGGTGCAATTGGTCATGCGGTGACTTCGGCATTGTTGTTCAATGTCTGAACTTGCTAGTCTTGCTCCAGCGTGTGCGTCTTGAGCTGAAACAATATCAGATTGCCACGCCTTGCACTTATGACAAGATCATTCGTGCCGGCCTTTCTCATTGTAAATTCGTGCCCCAGTTCACTTGAAGTTTTCGAACAAAAGTCTTGGGAAGACTCAAGGATCGTACGCGATCTCTCAGGCCTTTCTTGAAGGTAAGAAAAATGAGTCACCCGTGACCCTGTGACGTAGGAGATTCCTTTTGACAAGCTGTCTTGGCATCTTTCGTTTCTTGCCGCTGGCTAGAGCCATTGGCTTCGCGCGCGGAAAGCCACCAAGCTTCCAATATGTTCGTGTGTCGGTGCGGTAGAAAATCAGCGTTCAATTCAGGCAGTCTAGCAACTTCACGCCCTCCAACAAACTTTGACTTCTCGGCTTCTTCATCTTCGTGAGGCAAAGCACCATCTCAGAGGTTCATATGACCAGCACGATGAATCTCAACCCATCCCTCACGCCATCTCGTTCACCACACTGTTCACCACGACCAGCCAAGGAGCGCGAGGGGCTCCATGGTTTGGCATAATGACTTCAACGCACTATATCATAACTGTTTGAACTACAATCAGGAAAAGGCTTACTTGGCTGGGCGAAAGGATCTTCCAGATTGGTGCCCTAGGAGTGGGGTATAGTGGAGTCGCGTGGAAGGACCAGCCTCTGCGACACCCAAAACAACCGGGTTCTTTGCCAAGGAATGTCCACCTCCGAAAACTGGTAGAGCTATCAGCTATGAAATAATGGTACTTATTGTGATTCTAAACAGGGTAGTTTTTTTTCTAAACAGGGTGGGGGCACACGGACACACACACACACACACACCCGACAAAGTCCAGGGCCCCCAACGTCACTGACCCTCGAAGCGAGCCGGAAAAGCAGCCTTCCAGCCTGGGCTGCAAGAAACATGCTCTGCCCCTCGTGGGTGCGAAGACAACACCTAATAATCACCTAGTGCCTGTATGGCCCTATAACCCCGCTCAAGGTTCAATCAAAAAGGATCCTAAAAGTTACAGGGAGAAAGTCCAAAAATGACGCAGGGCTTGGGAAGCTGTAAGGGCCTGTGATGGTCTAGGGGAGTAGAATGTACCCGTGCCAGTGTGAAAACCTAGCAGAAACCAGGAAAACCCTTTATCGTGACCTTCCGCAACTATGTACAACAAGGGGACCTCGTGCAGGTGATTCTGCAATATTCTGCAGATTGCATATTATGTAGTTAGTCTGAATGCGTTGCCGCCGATGTTGGAAGCAAATGGCACATAAAAGTTTCAACACACCTCAATTCCGATTCATTTCCTCTGACACTAGCGCACTTTGCACACATTAAAATCCTTCTTTCCTTCTCTACTTCTTGACCTGCTGTCATGAAAGGTGCCGCATCGCAAAAGCAACGTGCATTCCCAACCACCGTGTCTTCAAATTGTGGGATTCCCCATTTCTCTAGTTTCCAAACCGCTTACATAGCTACCAATCGCAGCAGCTGTGTCTATGACTGCATGCCCTGCCGATTATTAAAGCAACCAGTATCTGTCCAAGTCCCTTAAGTGGTGACCTGCAAATGAGATTCTCCGTGCTTGTCGAAATCGAGTGCCGCCGAAACCCCGGTGCTCCGTGCCTCCGAGGGCTCTAAAGGGCAGCCGTGGCTGTTGACCATCGCCTCGGCCAGCTCCGACAAGCTTAAGAGGCCATCCTGGCACAAAGCGGCACTTCAGTGCGCCAAAAACACAGCAGTGCTGTATAACATTTGCATCCCATCGAACTGGACGGATGGATATCATGGCTTTTGGATCGCCTCATTTCGTCCATATGCGGTGGATATCATAGTTCGATGTCCCTGAGCTCTGGCCGAGTTCTTCTTCCAACGCAAAGGCACGGTTTTAATATGTTTTTATCATTGCACATGCCCTTCAAGTCATGTGTGTCCCTTCCATGATTCTGCCGGCCTGATCGCCATCCGCCAGGAGTAAAAACTGGAACAGTTCAAAGGACTGTCGGGAATACCAGCGCCGAAGCAGGGTGAGGCCTGGACGGAGTTTCTTTTGCGTCGCAGTTTCGATAATGGACTGGACCAATCCCCTTGGCAGGAACGTGAGTTGCGAAATCCAAAAAAGGGAGATTATATATGCAGCTCCATGTCGGAACCTCCTGAAGCTTCCGATTCTTGATTGCCGCTTTCATTTCTGAATACTGAATACTAGAATTCACTCAAGCAATTTTGGGGTAGGTTCTTTTTACATAGGTAGAACGCTCAGGCCTGACACCTAGTAAAGGTTTTACATAAAATAGAACAGTCCCCGAATCCAGAGCAAGTTGCGCGCCCGCATTATTAAAACTACATAAAACTAATGTTTTGCGACTCTTTGGCTATTGCCGTTTGTATTTTTTACGCATCCGTTTAAACTCTTTATCTGTTACGCTGATATACATGTTACAAGCGAATAATCTAAGTGTTACTATATAGTAGAGAGTTTCGTAAAAGGGCAAGGAACATCCTTTGATTTGGTGTTTTCTGTCTTGGCACCAGCATATGAGTACAATAAAGGACCGTGTAAAACCATCAAAAACGGTCTTGAAGCGGTTCCCAGGGACTGCTGGTTCCCATCTTTGGGGTCTATATAAACACAAAACAATTGCAGCCAAAATCCCTCGGCCTCGAGCCGAGAACAAAGGATCCACACTGAAGGCGGTGTTTGGAATGGAAAAATGGCGTTTGGAGTCGCCGACTCAGGCGGACCATAGCCCGGCAAAAGGTGACAGCCTGCATCTGCCTGCCTGGCTCATCCATGACCGGCAAAGCAGAGAGTGCGGCACCTGGCTCGAAGGGAGAAGCCAGGGTGAATTCCTAATGGATCTCACTGGCAGTGCATGACTTTACGCCCACTCGAAGTACATGGCGGCATACTGCTGAAACACGACACAATAACAACCCCAAAGAACGAACACCTCATCTTCTCTTTTGGCCTTGCTGGTGCAAAGTTTGTCCTACACCCCGTGCACACGACTAAGATGCAAACAATCCGAGCAACACGCCCTTGGTTTGGCAGGCAGGAGGCAAGAAGTTTCTTACTTCACCAATAATGTTGTGAACAACGCTGCCCAGGCAATGAGTTTGCAGTTCGGATTGGTAGAGGTGAAGGTAGTGAAGGAACAAAGCAAACAGGTGACATCTTTGAACAATAAACCTACCTTCAAAGGGTAAACAAAGACTGACATTTTCCTCCCAAACACACTGATGATGATCTGATTATTGATTAGATTGTTTTGGAGTGAGTGAGTGCTCTATGTGGACGTCCAACTGTCGTTCGTGCCGTTTTCAGCTGAAATGACCTGTCGTAGTCAAATCCCGCCTCGAAACCCAAAGTTTAGTTCACTTTGAGTTTCCAGCATTTAAGAGTTCTCTCACATTTGGCCAGAGGCCCAGATGCACACCACAAATACCAAGGTTCGACCTCATTGTTGTGGTTGTGGGAGCTCCTCCTTCACACCAAATGTTCTATGCTTTCATTTGGGACTTTGCTGTGCACTTCTTGCTGTGCTCATTTGGAACTCCCGCCCTGGACCTCTAGCCCACAACTTCAGAGCCACACTCCCGGACACTTCGGGCCTGTGACCGTAAAGCGGTCCCGGGCGGAGAGTGGTCCTGTTGAAAGCCCAGCTTGTAAAGCCTCCAGCTCCTGTCGTTCGGACCGTGGCACGGCGTCAAACCCCCGGGCTTAACGGTTGAAGTCGTGGCTCAGCGTCGAACCAAGTCGCTGGCACTCGTTGCTTGATGGATATGATCACAGGCCCCGACGAGGGCCTTGATTGTTGCACTAGAGACCTTCCCCATATAATAAATTAATAATGTGTAACAACACTTCGTGCTGGCCCGGAGATCAAAGAGACACTCATGTCTAGGGTCCTTTAACTTTGTAGGGTCCTTTGAATCATCAACTAATATATATATATATAATTGTACATACTAGATCATACTAGTACATACACATATAGACACAGAAACACAGAAACAAACCAACACACACGCACACACGGCTAGCTTGGAGGAGCGCCATGAGCACCAACGACTCTCCTTAGTAATAAACAACATTAAAAACAGTGATATACTTCGATATCCTGCGGGGGCCAAGCACGGCATGTCAGCCGAGGTGCTCATGCCATCGATTGTAAAGTGTAACGGTGGTCTCAGGAGTCCCCTCCCAATGTGCCAATTTTATCCCTCAAAAAACCTTTCCGAAGGGTCCTCTTCATCTTTTTTCCTGTCCAGCTCCATCTCTTCAATTTCCATCTGAAGCTTTTCTGCTTGCTTTCCTTGTCGCACTTTCCAAGGAAACGAACCATGTTCAAACTTTCTGCCACCAAGTGAGCCAGTGAAGCTTCCCGGTGGAAGAGGCAACAACAAGTCCAACAATTTCTGACATCGGATCACGACCCTTGTGCCCAAGCATTCCACGGATAAATTTGCTTTGAGCAGTGCTGGATATTTGATTGGGAAAGGATGAACACATAATGCTGCACGAGTTTCATGTATATAAGCTTTCCAAGCTCTCTAGCCAACAAAAGGGGACTATGACATTGGAGGTATGGGCACCTGCTGAGTTGAAGCATGCCACAACCGCGTCGTGGCTGCTGCTGCTGCTGCTGTGCTGCCGCTGCTGATGCCGTCCAATGCCAGCGCAATCGAAGGTTCAAACAAAACCACCTCTGATGTTTTGACCTGCTCTTTATTATCTGATTCATGTCCTCTTGGAGAAAAGAGCACGCATCTAACCAACAAGCAAGCGTATTCCATCCTGAACAGTTTCCATAATATTTGATCACTACAAGGCCTTGGGCCCAGAAAAACTTGGAAACCCGTTGGATCTTCGCAGATCCAAGTGTATCTCCACACCAGCTGATCCAAGATTCGCTCTTGGATAAGGCCTTTGTACTGGATGGCCACTTCACGGGTCAAGGTCTGCTCCCTGCGATGTTTGCGGCAGAATCACCAGCTGAATGCTTTCAACACGGGAAGAATTATGTTTCATGTCCAGGTAGGAGGGAGGTTCCCAAGTCATCCTTGACCTAAAATCTTTTCCAAGCAAGGGCAGAACAACAAGTGATCTGAGATGGTGGTGAGATCTTGAAGCATGCTTAGGCTTTCATCATCACCCTCAACCCCACAAACCACTTGTTTGAGCAAATGAATGCGGCAAATCAGCTGTCAGCAAGTGAAGTCAATGTCACTTGCTGAATGACCAAGTGTAGCTCAAGCTTGGTCGGCTAGCATGTTTTACTTTTCATGGTTTTGCAGGCCCCGCCATCACATAGTACCAAACGTCTTCCAGTTGCTGAGAACTACCATCATCAAGCCCGTACCTCAAAATTATGTGTGAGCTTTGGTGAAGGGCTAGCTGCTTGTGGATGTTCCGTGTATTTGATGAATGTTGCATGTGTGATTGACCTATGCCTATAGTCCCAAATTGGTCCAAAGGGTACATATTTGATGTTCCATATGAGTCCAGTCAGATTCAAAACTAACAATTGTGTTGTAAAATTGAGTGAAGGGTAAAAACACTGACAGTGCTCCAGTTTTCCAAAAGTTTTCCATTTGGCTGAAGCTGCCATACATCAACAGTAGCCTCCTCAATTCCTCCTCCTTCTCTTCACATTGCTCCCGCGAGCTTTCATGCCAAGCCTGCGGGGAGAGGGGGCAAAATTGCCAAAAGTGTTCTTTGATTTTCTGCGAACCTCGTCCCTCAACGGATGCGAAACAGGTAATTGTTTGTGCTGAGGTGAGCGGCCCGGGAGGTGGCGTTCTTCAATGAAACAATTGGAAATGATGGAAATGCCCTGTGTTCTGCAACACCTCTAGTTCTTGTCACATCATTGAGCTCCTTTGGGGGTGCCCATCACATCATCTGGTTTGCATCTGTGATTGTGGGAGGCAATTCTGGACCGGTCAAAGAGGCATGAAGGTTGAGTGGTCGTCCACAGGAGCAATCCTCCGATTGAAGGAATGCACAACAGCAAAACAGACCACCAAAGAACTACCAGGCTTTGAGTGCATAAGCTTTGACACGGCAGGTCTGTTATTAGCACTTATTAGCCATCATACCGGCTCGTCTGTTTCATCGGCTCGTCTTTCTTTCATTTCGGTTTCGAGACCTGAGACGCAACATGACGCGGTGGTCGGCTCGTCTGTCCTTCTGACTGCGATGTATTCTTGTTACTACTAGTAAGGCACTTGTTACTAGTAGCGATGCACTTGTTACTACTAGCTTCTAGCTACTACTAGTAATGCCCTTCATCTTGTTTTGTTTCGGCTTCTATAGCCTTTTTGACCTGCTCGTCCTTGCATGATCTTCATCTTGAGCTGGAGAGGTCCGTCCAAAGAAGCACACTCATGCATCTTGAGATGCCGGTGCTGTGGCCTTCTCATCTTCCAACTCTCCTTGGATCCTCTCTTGTTGATCTTTCACTGCTTTCAACTCCTGGCACAGCAACTTGGCAGCAAATCCTCAAAGTATTCCGTACTTGCATGTCCAGGCTCTGAGAATGGTCGATAACACGCATACCTCCTTATATAATTTCCATTGCCGCCACTGAACCTGCCTGTGGCGTCCACAAACTACATGGAACCATAGGGGGCGAACGTTGAAGAGCTAAGACCTAGCTATATAAAGATATATAAAGTATGCTGGAGTGTGGGAGGATCCCCACAACATCCACAAATCATGCAATACAAGACGGGCTGGGCATGGCAACATTCAGGCTCCTGCTTCAAATCTTGAATTCTCTTCTCATGGACGGCAATCTCCTTCTTCACAACGTCTTCCTGCACTTCAGAAAATGGCCAAATAGCGAGTCTTTTACTTTAGCGAGTGACAATGGGAAGCGTATGGAACCTTGATGAAGGACACGATGAAAGAATGTTGGGTTGCAAACCTGAGAAAGTGTCCCAAATCTGGAGTTTTCTCTGAAACTCACACTTCAAAGGACTATTCCTGTCTACTTCCTGTGACCGATTGGAAGCCAAACTTGGCAGAAACCAAACAGTAACATGATGCTGTTAATTGGTGTTACCGTTGTATATTAAATGCCCGGAATCATGCATCGGTGCCATGACCATAAATTTCGCTGCTTAGCCCACTCTTGCTCAAGCTCATTATATAGAGGTTATCCCTGGGCTCTTCTCCCAGTCATCTCCTTACTGACGGTGAGTCTTGGATCGTCTAGGACCTCAATCGATCTCAATCGGCCTTCTTAGGACTCAGGAAATCTGAACTGCAAAAGGAGAGAAAAACAAACAAATCCATCTCCGGAGTTCGGACCACCAATTGACGCGTCGGACGGGCGTTCCAAACCGTTGTTTTGGAACATGACGTGGCTGTGGCTCTGGCTAGGGCCAGCGGTTTTAGAGTAAACGGGATAAACCCAAGGGCCCATATACGATATAAAATGAGGTTGTCACGATCCATCATAGAAACATTTGCTGACATTCCGCAGGTTCAAAGTAACATTTTCAAAACCCATCGAACTCCAACCTCAGACCTGGCCTCTTCTGCCATCATGGCGTCCAAGCGAATGGCCTCTTGTTTCCATGAGACCTGTGGTGCCAGTCTCTTCGATCGACTCGGGAACCGTACGGCTGTCCAGAACCGTATGGGTGTAGCACCGTGCCGCACTTGACATGGTTCACATCTGGGCCCTAGGGCTCCAGTCGTGCCTCAGAAGGTATGACTGGACCCAAACCCAGCCCAAAGACCTTCTCAAAAGATCAAAAGTACGGAGGAGCCCTACTGTAGGGATGGTCAACTGGGTTTGGGCCATCCACTCTAGCAAATATTCTGACCAAATCTATGTTTGTTGGCAGGCCCTTTGATGGTAAACAAGAATAACATGAGAACATGGCTGACCCAGAAACTGCCCAACTGCCTAAGAAGGTGGAGATCCTACGAGTTGGCCCAACTGACATGCCACTGATCCAAGTTTCTTTGGCGACTGACATGCCTCCCTTGAGAACATTTGAGAACGGGCACCGTAAATTCTGGATGCGGCTGTTGACCCGATTTCCGGCCAGGTGCCGGTGAGTGAGAAGCCCTGACCTTCACGGAATGGAAGACCGATGTGCTGCCCAGAGACAAATTCCACCTGCAATTCAATGATGCGAGTGAACAGCACATCGCGCTTCCTGAGACCAGTCAGTGCTGGTGATGATTTGATGAACCATTTCTTAAGCCTACGTGCTTGTTTTGAAATGTTTTCAGAATGCGGTGGATCGCAGAACCCGGGACATCGTGGGAAGCAACGCACAACCCACAACAAACACCCAATCATGAATTCACATTGTACATGTCGATCAACAGAAATCTTTGTCTGCCCATTCGCCGGGTGGTTTTAGCCAAAAAACCGCTGGTCCAGTGGTGTCCAGTGCCGCACCACAAGCGCCAGTGGGAATTGGAAATATCGTCCGCAACTCTATACTCTATAGATAACAGCAAACAGCCAAACAAAGCCAAATAATTAACATAAAGGGAGTGGCCGCACTCTTTGCCAAGAGGCATGGCTTTGTGATCATTCTCTCGCTCCAAGATCTGCTGTTGCAAGTCTTGTGCCTCGCCATCAGCGTCCGAAGTTCATTCCGAGGGTTGGCATTCACGACCGAAGGTGGGGTTCCTGGAGGATTCTGCGAGTGAGTCCGAGTGGGTGGGGTGCTTTCAGAGTAAATGGCACAAACCCGAAGATGTACTTTAGAAGGGGGTCCATATAAATTACCAAACGTGAGGATATGGCAATCTCTGCAAAAGATGGCGCACTCGCGTCTTTTGTGCCGCATTGTTAGGCGGGCGGTTTCAAAAGGATTGCTTTGGTACACTGAAAATCCGGAAGCCACTTCACACACACACACAAATGCACGACCCCAACGCTATACATCATGCACCTAGCCTGCCAATCTGAAACATGCATGCCATCTACTCTGATGCCACTGTACATGATCAACAACAACGTTGCAACAGGTTGTGCCCAAAGGCTCGTGAGGACTTCCTGGCGTATCTATCTATTAAAGATATCTTATGTAAGGGCTTGGATTGAGTACAAGAGGGGCTATGGGGTGTCGATATGTGTCGATACACCAGCTATGCCACTATGCTACCTCCAGCAATCATGGCAGCTTCCAACAAGTGGTCAGCTGTGTGCACTCCATGCAAGGTCCTTAAGTGCCAATTCCAAGCTAAGACTAACGTAAAGCCTGAACGAAATAAGCCCGCAAAGAAACTTTTCCATCCATCAAAGGTCACACAAAAGAATCGGAAGGGCCTAATGTCGGAAAATCGAATCGACCACGGCCACCCCGCAGTTCTTCCGTTGGCGGCCGCAGTCCATCAAGGTCTCAGGAGTTCTCGCCACGCAGAACGCCTCTTTTTCATACCTCTTCGCTAAGCGCTTTGAGTCGAAGGGCGATCTCCAAGCCGCTGAAATCCTCTGGGCATGTAGGCAGCGCGAAGGTTCTGGAGGGGTTCCTTCGCACACTTCGGTGGAATATGGACAAACTGCCGGTGGTCCCCCACCTTCGTTGTAGCGTGCATGGAAAGAATCAAACGTTGCACTTGTCACATATGAGCTGCTGTGGGACAGGGGCTCAGGCAGGATACTGTAACTAGGCCTCAAACACCCAGACTCACTATTTCAATGGCAGCTGTCACACTTCTCAAATGTGATGCTGTGCTTAGCACAGCTCACCATTTCACGCAAAACAAGGTTCGGACCTTTGTCCAAACACTCGCAAAGCACTAACAAATGGACTGTCCCAATAGAAACAACAAGAAAACACATAGAAAAACCTATGAGATCCTATGTGCACCTTCCTGTGGTTCCTAAGAACAAAACGGTGAAGGAGGTGGTCGCTCACATTAATGACTGGCTGGCCAAACACATCATCTAGCCACGGAATATCTTTGGGCTCTGCCCTGGAAGGCAATGGATAGCACTGACAGCCTCAGTGGATGGGATATGTCATGTTCAGAACTGCAGTGGGTAGTAGATGTTATCTGGAGTTCTTCTCGCAGGCTGCGGGCCCCTGATTCCTGATTCTAAGCTTGCGATAAGGGTTGATGTCTACACTCTGGCGTAGACTCTAAAATTCAACTCCTGGAAAAAAGTAGAACACATCCTTCGCCGCAAATATATCATCACAGCAAACCAAACCCAAGCTGGGGGAACTCGAGGCGCTTGTCCCATTGCATACCCAGTGGGTGGAGTGGCACCATCACTTGGATCACCCACGGCAACATTCCACCCCTGCAACATCACTTGGTGCCTATACATGACAGTTGGGACTCGACTTGGCCATGCCTAGAAATGTTGCACCACGTGCGTGATTGAGTATGATCACCACCTCGGTACAACCCAGGAGCAAACAACTACTGAGCCAAAGTCGGATAATACAAATTCTTCAAAACTTTCCAACAAATGCATTGCATCTTTAACGCTAGTCATTCCCATGCCCAAGCAAGCCTGACGCGTCATCGCCCAAATCCTCTAAAACCGAACCATCTCCAGCCGCCGCGATTTGCTCCACAAAAGAAGCCTAAAAACACCGAGAGGTCTCTCCCGGCCTCACACCCGCTCGGTGGGCAGCGTGGCTTCGCTTCGCCTGGTCTGCAGGTGTTGACCCGTCTCGGTGCTGTCTGCCCGTTCGACGTGCCCAAAAACCCGGAAGCATCGTTGGAAGTTCATGGCACTACACGAAACTGTCCGTCAGGTCGTCATTTGAGATCCCAAGCAAGGGCTCATGACATATATGAAGATGAAGTTGGTGAAATTTCCAGAGGCTGTCAAAAGACTTCACTACATCTAATTTGGAGGAAACAATTTCAAAACAATATATATATATATATGTGTGTGTGTATTGTATCAAGGAGGTTGGAAACAAACATGTCTGTGTTCCCCCTCGGGGTTGTCCTCTTTCATGTTAACAATCGTCAGGGCCCGACCGTCCTCCCCGCCCAAGAACTCTGCGCAACCTCTGCGCACCCCGTGTGCAGCCAGGCTTCAATGCCTCCAACTCCTTCGAAATCTGGTAGGTCTGCCGCCTCAAAGGCATCAACAGTTTCTGCAACTGCAAGGCCCAGGCAGGCATATCCAGCAGCAAGACCTGGAGATGATGAAGTGACATATTGGTCCTATGGATGGCCACTCTTTGGATGGCACGGGCAGTTTGTGGCACTCACTTGGATGGCAATTACACTCGGAAAATTAACATGGAACATCATGGAACCTGAAAGTGGACCTTTGGAAGACTATTTTTCTCTACAACCCAGTGGTTTTCAGGTTCCATGTTGAATTTCCAGTGTGTGTATATATGGTATCATGTGATTTTCTAGTAGTGCAACCATGCCCATGCTGGTGTGGATAGTTCGATTGCTGGGTTCCACACAAGAGGCTGCCAGTTTCTTTGGCCTCGTAGTCTTAGTTAATTGGATCCCCAAATTATATACAGTACATCCAATCACTGGCTTTTTGATTGGGATTGCTGTGGCAGTTTTCAGGTGGCTTGGAGCAAGGTCATGTGTTCCTCAGGGCAACAAATTGGGACGCGGTTGACAACCAAGGCCGAGACCTACGTGTTCTGACTCCTGATGATTCCCAAATCCTGACAGTCACATGGAGCAAAACCAAAAATGGCCAACTTTCCCGAACCCAAAATCAACCTTCCCAATCCTGACATGCTTTTGGTCAGTGACACGGAACACTACGCATGAACCAGAACTGAGGTTCTCTCTCACCCAATCTGGGTTGAACAACCACTGATTGCGGAGATATGTCGGTAGGAAAACGAGAAGCGTTCTTCAGTGTGAACGAAGTGGTTTCAATCTCTTTGTCGTCCTGGAGTCTTGGAGTGATTTTTTCTTCTTCGCCCGAGCCAAACTATGTCATCTGTTGAGATGATTTCTGAATGCCCCTTCTCTCCTAGGCCCTCTTTGGCTCAGCCAGCAATACGTCTCACAACACTAACACATCAGTTGTGAATGGCTTTGAACGTTCCATGTTCCCAGAAACCCCTCTCATATTATCACCTGCCCACATAGCCGTGAATAATGCAGATGGTGCAATTGAGGCCGGTCACTGTGAACAAGCCCTCCAAGAACTCAGCTAAGCCTGGATCCAAAGAAAAAAACTGCTCAAGTTGTTCCCCCAAAGAAGAAAAACATGTTACTGTGCATTCCGAATAGGTGGCTCAAAGGCCACCAATTGACTAAACTGCCACTGTGAGAGCAGCCTCAACTGTGTGTAGTCTGCAATCTTTACACTCATAATCCAATCATTCTATCTAACTTGGCCATGACACTCAAGCTACCGCCACCATCTGCGTCCAGAAGCTCGAACATGTCTTCCATGCTGTCGACCTGAAGAGCAGCTCACATTGAGCGGAGTCGTAAGATCCTCAAAACTGTGGATGGCGCTGAGTATGCAGCATGCAAAGTCTGAACCCCGAGTAATAGTAAGACATTTGGTCAAACATCACCCACAAGGATGCTTAAACACCGAGACTCAAACGTAGGTGAACGCCGTGTTTCCCCCCGAAAGGTGTTTGGAGAGCTGTATGTAGTTAGTTCTAAAGTTCTGACCGTTTCATCAGGGAGAAACAAACCGAAGGGCCAGGCGTCGAATGAGCCGTGTTGGCCATTCATACCCAAACCTTTCACCTGAAAACACATGTGACTTTGCCATCGTGCTAACATGTGTTAAACAAACAAATTGTATCAAATTGTAGTTTCATGGTGAAATATAGCGATATAAGGTGAATAGACTAATTCATCAAAAAATCCAAGAGACAGTGACCTTCTCATAGACCTTCTCGGGCAGCACATGCAAAGGCACATTGGCCACCTCTTCACGTGTGATGTAGCCGCTCCCATCCTGGCTATGAGGTGAACCGCACGGTTTAGTGGATCGTCTGAACAAAAGGTCCATGGTATTGAAATGCATTCAACATTTGTGTGATGCAATTGAAGGCTCTTTTTATATATACATGTGTGAACATGAAGCCCTGCAGTGGTCCTTCACATCCCGGAAGACAGCACCCGCACCTGGTCTAAGGCCGAAAAGATCTCCAGCAAGTCGGGCAAAGTGGCCTTGATCTGCTCTTTTGTTCTGATGCGTGCAAGCTCCGCTTCTTGAGAGGCATGCTCCAGCGCATGTTCCTCAACAAAAAAGGGAGCCCGAGGGCTTCAATCCAGGACATGTCGAGGGGTTGTCCCCCCAAACAGAGGCAAAATGAAACAGTAGGGACTCTGCCCAGTGGAGATTGATGCTTCATGTGCCGTCCCACGGTTGAAACCTTTACTCTCTCGCTGTTCCTCACAAGGCAACTGGTGCAAACCTGAAACAAATTGACATCCAACTCAAACAGAAACTCAGCCCAAGAGTCCACCAAAACCGCAGTGACCAAGTTCATCAACGCGATTGACAAGAACAGCAAAAGGGGCAGGAAATAGATGATCAGGAAGGGTTTCTGCATGACCAGCGGAAAGTAGATGTTGGCGATCCCGTCCTCGGTTTCATCGCTCAAGCCACAGGTGGACAAAGCATGCGACTGATGCAATCCTGATTGCTACATTTTGTCCCTGTTCTTGCCTGGTGGATGATCCTTACTTTCATATTCTGAAATTCATGAGGTGCAGCCGGTACAGCTCCACAATTGCCTCCCAGTCATGGTCATGCGGCACCATGTGCCCCAGCACGCTGTGAGTGCCTCCTCTTTGACTGAAAGCCTGCTTGGGTGATCTTAAGCCACCTGCCCAGTATCAGTCATTGACTTGAACAGTTGAAACATATACATTGAACAATACCTTGAAATATCCTGAAGCTACCAACCGCCTGCTACTGACATTCTTCACCGTTGGTATTTTCTCGACTTGAGGTGCCCACCCCTCAAAGATGATCCCCTCATTGACCCCCCCTCCACAAATCGACAAAGCCGTATCCAAACACCGGGCCAAAGGAGTTATTACTGCTCCTCTTCAGCCTGTTCCATTCATTCCGCCCATTCCTTTCCATTTGGTGGTAGGTGGGATCTCATTCATGAGCCTGGAATCATGTATATAAAGTACCACGCTCAATTTTAGGTAGAAATCACATATTCAATTCCACGCGTGACCTTTCGACTTGAACCATGCCTTTCATGTTTGCAGCCTTTCATACGCCAAAGCCTTGCCTTTCATCTCACAAAACCAAGTGATTTCTTTCTGGAACCATCCTTTTTCTTGGCTTGGCTTCCCCCAATAAAGCATAAAGCTTCCGAACATATGTTGATTCATGTCCGAAGTGAAAGGCTCACATCGCCATTGTCTAGGATTCTAGGGGACCTAGGCTACCTTACATTATCTTACATTCTATATTCACATAATTAATCATGTGCAAAACTTTGTTGCTCCTTACGCATTTCTCGTCTTTGAACAGTGGAGGTTGATAGATCTTTTTGAATTGCATTACCATCAGACAGTCAATAGCAATAGGCCATTGCATCCTGTATGGAACAATCTTCCACAAGCAGCGATTCATTGTAGGTTGTCCCTTGGTGTGTTCTGGCCGAGCCTGTATCAACATCCCTGATTTCACAGGCACCCTCCAAACAAGTGTTCGGGAGCTGAAGCAACTGCAGCCCAATACAAACTCGAATCGCAAATATGTTTAGAATCTTAGAATGTAGCCTCCAATTAGAAAGTCGTTGGAAACCAACACTATGCCATTTGGTCCCAGATTCCATGGTGACAAACTGCAACAAGGTGAGCGTTGCTTTGGGCAAACTGCTGAAGCTCCTCCGCACGATCCCTGCCGTCTCCGGATAGGCTTTGAGATCCGGGTCATTTGCAATGACCTCCACAGCGATACAACCTCAGCTGCCATTATGGCACGGCTGGCACACCAAAAGGAATGGAACTGTGCGGGTCAATTTTTGGGTGGCGCCGACCAAGCGAAGGGTCTTTGACTCACATCTGACTACGGCCTGAACGCACAATTTGGAAAAAACATGTAATGCAAGGCATCAGGGACATCTATCAAAAAAGCGGGTTGGTATATTGCAACCTTAAAGGCAGAACCGGGATCAACGACGAGGTTTCGGATCTATGAACAGTTCAAGGCACCGTTCGAACCTAGCGTTTGTCGCGGGGTTCTGTACAATGGTCTGCAATGGTTTCGGAGTGGATGAGCTGCCAAACCTACAAATGACACCAATTGGGTTCAACCACTATAATTGGAATTGAACAACAAGAGTGGCATTCGATACACCTGCCAACCTGCAACATTTAATATATTTAATAGACAGAATTGCGAGGAGTAGATCCAGCCGCCAGGGTTGCTTCATACGCCATCTAAAACGGCGTAGAAGTGAGGTGCCAAGCATGGTTAACCTCAACAAACTCATGAGGCTATATCACACGATGCAAACTTGCATCGGTTCTTTGGCCGAAAGAAGCAAAACGATCACTTGCTAATTGTTATTGCTCCTCGCCAGCCACTGTGCACCACTATAAGGAGGGCAACGAGCCATAGTCTTCATTCAACACAAGCCAACACACAAAAAAAAAACTCCCACGCAGCTAAACCGACATGGCAGGTGTCCTGCAGGGCCAATGGAAGGATTTGCACCGAGAAAGTGGGCCTAACGTGACCCCACCAGTCGTTTGGCGCATTTTCCGAGCCCGCACAATGTCGGGCCGCCGAAGATGTAAAGAGCCAAGAAGATCAAGATGGTCCTTGGCCATCGGATGGCACTGATGGGGCTCCAGTGTCGGTGAGGCAAAAACGACTTCTATGAATCCAAGAAAACTAGAACCGCCCATTTTGCCCAAAAAGCTGGCGTGTCTTGCTAAGCACATCTTCTAAAGTTGTATATTGCTATATAATATTGGAGAAGCATGCAAATGTAGCTATAAAATAATATGATAAAATTTTCTAGCATGCTGGTCACCCCTTTTCACACAACTCACTCATTTGGCAAATTGGCTTTCTTCAATTACAGCAATCTGAGCCCCAGTGCTCCCAAGGCACGTTGAGGCCATAGTGTCCCACACGGAGAGCAGCCCATTGACGAGGCGCCAAACCACCTGGAGTCGAGGCACATCCTTCTTGAGGCTTCCCCAGCATGTTGCTTAGGACGCTAAACTGGCAAAGTTCTAGTGTCACAGGAATGTCACAGGACTTTAAGCCATGTGGAGGCTGTTGCACCACGTTTTTGGAGAATGTTCATCACCAGCGTTGAGAGAAAGGGGGTGCTTAAATCGGCTGATATAAATACTTAAGCGCCTCTCTCTATATATAAACATATATTATATAATATATATATATTATATACAGTATGCTTGAGTATAGGTGGGCTACGTGTTTGGAGCTCACTGGCGGACCTCGGTCCATCTCCCGTACGCCTACGGAGCTCCATCCGAAGGACACCGAGTGGTGGTCGAATCAAAGGACACCGAGGGACCTTGTGAAGAACACCCGTCTGCCCCCAAAAAGCATCCCAAATAACATTATAATAATAAGTCACGTGCAGTCCTAGAAACGATCCAATACTCATGATGGTTGTTGATGTTGAAAAAACTCATCGGTCTCATCACACTTGGAATCTGTTTGTTGACCCTGAGTAGGTTTAGTCACTACGAGCATTCAAATGGCATTCTCGCAGTCACAGTGGACCCCACCTTGAAGCGCTTCACCGTCCGAAGGACCCGGGCCAAACGAAGCAAGCGGAGGCCTCCCACAGCCCCCGGCGAAACACGGCGGAAAGCAAAACGTAGATGATCTTAGATGTGTTCGACCATCCAGCATGTCCGGAAGATTAAACAGTCTGACAACGACCAACATCGCGGTCGTTGGTGTTGCATGGCATGTGCATGAAACTGACCATTCCAAACTGCAAATGAACCGTTCCGCCCCACAAAACTTGCTGTTGTTGGTCTTTTTAGGGCTAGTTCTTGCTCGGCTAGTTTTGAAAAGATATTGACTTGAAACTTGGGACAAGTCATGGAAGTAATGAAAGTCATATGAAAAAAGTTCTTGACTAAACCTTTTTTAAAGTCACAGTCACCACACTCCACGAGACGTGTTTGGAACAAAACAACGAACACAAGCGGAACCTGTGCTTTGTGCCTTGCCGTTGGCTCAAAAATGTAACTTCTGCATAAACCAAAAGTCAGCACAAGGTTCAGCGAAGAATCTGGACCAAAGCCTTTCAACCGCCAACCGCTAAATCTCAACATCAGGGTCCCCCGCCTCTGACAATCAAAAGCTGCATCCAGCCTTCCTGGGAGCTGGCCTCTTGCTCCACCAAGGGCACAACCACCAAGGCCACCAAACCCACGCAAACCAAAAACAGGTCCAGCCTCAGTGGGTTAAACCGCCATCCAACTTGGGATTTGACCAAAGCCACTGCTTCACACGTAGATGACCCTTTCTTCGTCTTCAGCCAGACGAAGTTGGCCAGGGAAGTTCCGAAATGCCTCGATGAAGACCATGTTCCAAAATGTCCCAGATTGTTGTTTACCAAATTGCCTTCAGCACAGCTTGCATAAGTGTTCTTGGAGGATTGACAAAGAAACAAAAACAAAACCAAACTAATATATGTATAGTTAAAGTTATATCGTTGGGATGAACCCCAAAAAAATGTGAAACCACCAAAAGGTCGGTGCATAACGCATCAAACCAATCAGTCTTACCTGACATGTAGCAGTCCGTCTCTTGTCGTTGGACGCAACGCGTCCGTATGTATTTGCTCCGTCCCATGCGTCTGCCACACGCGGCAGAGACGGTGGACGGAAGAGCTTCCATCATCGGGGATGGGTGTCTTGACATGTCAAGACATGTCTTGACATCCCACTGGATCCCACTGGCCCACATTGATATGTTCAATATATACTTTTTCCATGGTCCATTTTCGGGTCCAGGAGAGATGGTTTTCGGGTCCATTCCTCTGGTGTGTTTTCTACACTCATTGGACACCCTTCTCCCAGCTCCCCACCTGGAATTGGTTGGAAACCAAACTCCAAAAACGCACAGTCTGGTGCCTGTGGCCGGAAACGCCCTTTGGAAGTCCTTCCTGCACGTACAAGATGACATCTTGTGTTTGCTTGAAGCATGTGAACCTCCCAGAGAGCAAACAAACAACTCCTCAACCAAGGCGACAATCTCCATTTGTGAAAACAAACCTTCTAAACACATCTATAAAAACGACAAACATCGGCGACGGATGGCCAAGGCAGGCCCGCTGCGGCCAAGGCACAAAAACCAGGAATTATGGAAGGCCTCTCGTCCACCTGCAGTGAGTCGAATGAGTAGCTCCACTGTGTAGAGCCCCAAGAAAATACGCTCAATGTCAGCGGCCCACCAGGTGTCCTTGCCCAACAAATCCATCTCAGCCTCCGAAACTCGGTTCCACGGGCCCAAACAAAAAGGGATCGTCTGAATGGCCTCAAAAAGGTCCTGTGGTACTCTAAGCGACACACAGTTCTGTTTAGATTTGTGTATTTTTTTACGGGGTGAGCGGGTGAGCTCACTAGCATTGACCCTTCATTTCAGTGCTCTGTCCGCTCTGTCAATGTTTCTTGACTTCTTCTGTGGTCGTAGGGGTGCACAGGTTGTAAACCGCACCAAAATGTCACCAATTCCCGAAATCAGGAATTTCATGCTCACATGCGTTGGCCAAACCAAACACTTCCCACCAGTCGTCCTTTCGCAAAGAAGCTAGGAACTTCAAGGAACAACCAAACACACAAAAAGAAAAACAACACAAGACAGAAACTGGCTGGCCTCGACACCAATGAGTGCTATATTCATCAGAATCAACATCCCCGTCAAGTATTCGAAGGCTGTGGAGTCGACCACCTGGGGAGGCGAGCATGTCAGTCATCCTTGGTTCCTACCTCAAAGCACTACCCAATTAAGAAGCTCAATGTCCCAAAGAATGCTTAAACTATGTTGATCAAGGGTCTTGTACTGCGTGAAGGAAGGCCCTTCGATGTGGGGCTCTTTCAGTCTTTTGATACGAGTTTACTAAAAGGATACTAAAGGATTCTAATTTAGGTATAAACATGGTCCTTGGTGACATTTCGGTTTTGAACCTCTTCGGAGGCACCCTGGCTTTCTCACATCCTGAAACCCTCCCTGGCTCCTAGAACCCCGAAGCCTGGCTCCTGATTGGATCCTTTTTGGGGCACACCAACCGGGCACACCCCATTTAAGCGAAAATCGACCAAAGCTTCTTTATTCGGCAGGGGGGGATAATGGTGAGTTATTAAAAATTGGTTCGAGGTTACTTATCCTTGCCGCTTTTCAGCTCACTAAGCAGCCAATCCGGCGGTTGTCGTGAGGTTGCGAACCCGGCAACCAAGCCGCTGTGATTGTGAGTGTTATATAAATGTGATGCGTCCATCTTAGGCTCATTCCAACCCACCAGAACTACCATCGCACTGGCATATTACCACTGCCAATGGATCTTCCTTGGCAAGCCCCAACTGGCCAAGTTCTCTTGTTCCATCTGGTGGCCAAGTTCCACCCACTTCCAGCACACACTTCTTGCTTCGCAATAGTGCCTCCATTTCATCCCAAAGGCCACCCGTAGACCATCAGCCTTTCCCATGCAGTCAAGAAACCATCTTTAAGGTTTCACGTCTCTCCTGCCAAACCGTCAACCTGATCCTAGCACGGCAAAGGTGGGCGAAGACACACCTCTTGAGAGGCATCTACACCGCAACAAGAACAAAGGGTAGGCCCTCAGGTCCAAAAATAATGTTCAAAAACAAGGCTGAACCTTCAAGGATCCATGCACCAGCCAGCTCAGTCTCATATATCCCTCCCCGAAGAAAGCAACCCAAAGAAGTCAGCGAATCAAAAGCAGGACTGTCAGGCACACCTGATGGCTTTGGAAAAGGTGCTTCCACATAGAAAACAGGTGTCACAACGACTCTGGATGGCCCAAGTGTATTGGAAGGACGTGCATATTGCATTGCGCCATCGGTTTCCACAGTGAAATATTGAAACACGGTCCTGCCACCATCAAAAATAAATAGTTCTGAAACAGCCACATCCACCTCCAACATCCTCCAACTCCCCACCTCTGTTGCAAACCTCGGGCCGTCATGGCATCTGACAAAATGCCCATCTATCACAAGAACCGCCCTCTTCCGGACTTGGGCCTCCTTTTGCCCTGGTGGTCGGTCAGGACCTCTTCCAAGAGCTTGGGCAAGCGACCGTCGGTGGTTTGCCTCGTGAATTGGAATGGCAAAAACGGGCCATATATCCCCAAGCCATTGCTCGCAAAATTCCCAAACACATTGCCAAATAGCGTGTCAACCGACACGAATGCTAAAACATACTAACCATTTTCCCTCCCAAACTTTCCACGAGGGGGTGCGCACTGAGGCACTGATTCACCAGCAGCCTTTGCAAGACACCACTCGGAAAAATATAAATCCTGTTCAGCGCCTCAAGGTGCGTCTCATCTCGGCCGCTGGGGACGTGTCATTGGCGTCCATCATGCTGGCATCGCTGTCCGGGCTCCGCAGCCTCCGAAGTTCCTGCGACCTCCGGCTGGCCTCGGGGGTGATGGCACTGGCACGGGGAAACACGAGGATGTGTGAAAGGTAAAGGACCGTTGGTTTTGCGTCTGTGTATATGTGTTTGTGTCCACGCATACATATATACACATACACACGGCATGCATGTATACATGCGTTGAAACCCTAAACGGGGTGGCACAGTAGAGCATACCTTTGGGAGGCCAAAGCAAGCCTAACCAACAATATGCCAACAAATTACGAGTACAAAAGTGATGACAAAAAAATGGTAGTTAAATCCATGGGCGTTAACGTTAGTGCAGTTTAACATGCTGACTCTTGGTCTGGACAAGTGCATATGTACTAAATATAGATAGGTAGATAGATAGATAGATAGATGCACGCTTGTCGTGACTCCAAGCTGCGCATGCCTTCCTGCTAGTAGATGCCAAGGTGTGACACAACATCGGGAGACATTAAAAGTAACATTTTACGACCGCGTCGTATTTTCCCGCTCCGTGCGGCCCCAGGAGCGCACTCGGCCGCGGGCAAAGCCAAAACGACTGGCTCGTTTGTGGCCTCCGAGGCCGCTGCCTGGGGCAAAGCAGGCAATAAGCATGGTTCCGGCTACAGCATGCTACAGCACGATTTGGGAAGCACTAACTGTCCATAGAAAAACAAACAACTATGATATGTCACAGTCACATGTCGTTTCTCTGGCGGTAACACGTGCCGATGTGTATGATGGCCTGGCTGTCCAAATGTTTTCCAATGTGCAATTTGCTTCAAAACAGTGTCCCTGTTGGTTGTGCTGCGGCTGTCGGCCACCCTAAGTCTGGCTTGGAGGGCATCTCTGCCGGGCAACGCTGCCTGTCGGGACGTAGGCTGAAACAAGCTGGGCTGACAGCAGGGCAATACAAGCAAGCGAGCGCCGCACCTTCTGTGGTTTGTGTCAGGCTGCGGGCCATGTGCTTCTTGGTATGGCCATTTTTTGAGGGCCATATCTTCGCGACCTGAATCGAGGAAGGCTTGCCATTGTCCGCCAGTTCTCTCGACAAAGGTGTGCGATGCCAAATTTGGCTGAAATACAGTTGAGTGTGCTTGTCGAGGGTAGGATGACGCCAGCCTTGCCCAGAGTTTTGCCACCTGTAAGTTAGCCAACTCTTCACTGACAATTTTGCTGGTTAATCGACCCGGCTTGGCCGTCGCTCGAACCTTGGCTTTGCCTCGTGCTCCACTTTCCCTCGAACAGTCAGCCAGAGTGGGGCGGTTCCGAAACGAATGACTCTTTACATCATGCTAGAATGCCAGCATCTCGAGCTGAAGGAGCGTGCCAAGGAGTTGAGGACCCCTTCTTGCAATGCCTGGGTGTGGTCATGTCCGCATGTCCAATTGTGAGGTCTGCTCAAAAACTTCCAAATGCACACGCTTCAATATTACAAATTGGAGCTGCTAAGTGTCCATTGATTTTGTGAACTGCAACTGTGGCCCCGAGACTGCTTAAAAGTCTGTCAGCCAAGAGCAACAAGTGCACCAACAGTCTCCACAAACGTGTTTGAAGCAAAAAGGTTGGTCTCAGAACCTTGATCCATGCACGCTTTAATTCCCCTTTCCATTGGCTTTGCCAAACGTTTTGGAGGTCGACATGGGAAAATTCTGATCGAGGGCCACTTGCCCACAAGGCCGAACACCCGCTTGTCCTCTTTCTCGCTTGGGTGGTTCTGGTTCCCGTATCTGTATACTTGCTTCAAAGCGTGAGGGGCTGCAACTTCTTTGCTGTGACTGTCAAAACAGCGACAACTGCTGAGAGATCTGTTTCACCATCAGTGTTTGCGTCGGCCGCTTCACCCTCAACTGGACGTTGTTCTCCGTCTTGCGCGTCGCGAACTCTTCGTTGCGATCATCGTCATTGTCGTCCTCCTCGGAAGTGCCTCCAACTCTGTCTGATCTGATCTGCTGCAAAGACTTGTCTGGTATGGAGCGTGTTCTTACCGCTTCCCTTCGCGCAGAAGAAACCGTTGTGGAAGTTGATCTCGGGGAGCAGCTGGAGCGAGAAACGCTGTCTCTGCGATTGTGAAGGTACAAACAACGAAGCATTGCTCCGCCTCAGCACGGAGTCATACAGAGCTCCTGATTTGAGGGCGCATGTGCCCTCAAGTCCGCACGGGGGTGTGCGTGTCAGAGGGCCTGGTACACATCAGGAAGCTCAGACTGATGAAGCTACGAGAGGATGAGGAGCACTGGGCCCTGGGCCCGGAACCTCATTGCCAAGAAAGAGGCCGCGAGAGACGACTTGAAGGACCTGAAAAAGCAGGCAGAGTTGATCAAGGGCAAGGAGGAAGACAGAAGGCGATCAGGAAAGGAAGAAGTTCCAGAAGGAAACGAAAGAAGGACCAGAACAGAGAGCAGGTCGTCAAAGGACAGCCTTTTGAATCCATGCGTACTGCCGTGAATCGTTATGTGCAGAACGGTGATTGCAAAGCGCAGGCGTGAATCCAAGTGGCGTGTATATGACAGTGAGGCTATGGGCAACGGACCGCTAGAGACAAAGGCTGACGCCAAAGAAGGGCCGTTTGTTTTTGATATGTTTTGTGGTTCAACTTCAACCTCACCTTCGGGTCTATAGCAGATCGCAACTGCATGACCTTAAGTTTCCTGAACGCACCCTGCCTCCACAGTTGTCCGGTCAAGGTGGTCAACCGATCAAAACGTTGCAATTTATCGTGAATTCTAGAACATGGGTCGCAACGACTTCGACCTCCAGCCCCTTCCGACTCCGGCCATGCGACGCGCCGGCCCAAAGTAGGATGCCTCCTGGGCGACGACCTCGGTGCCCTTGTGCAGCTCGTCAAAGGGACGGAGCTCTTCTGCCGCTACCGCCGCTACCACCTGTCGATCTCTCCACGCAAAGCTCCCGCAGCCGAGGAGCTGGCACAGCGTCCACTCCACCAGCACGTCGGTGTAGTACCCCTCTCGCTCTCGCCTTTGGTTTGGCAGCTGCCTTCATCACCGCATGACCTCGGCCACGTGCACGACCCTTGGCTTGGGCCATGGCAACCATGGGATGAACTCTCATAGGAGGCATGGTGCTTAGCGGTGGGATCAACACCACTCACGTCCACGCTCCCGCTGTGTGCCCCTCTCTGCCCTGTCTTGATCGATCAACCCTATCTCCTCGCTGTCCACGTTCCTCACTGAACGACCGCTCGACGAGGTGGCGGGTGATCCAACCAGTCTCGCTGGAGCCAGGAAGTGGCAAGGTACTTGGGAAATGCTTGGCGACAGACCCTTCGGGGCCGGCCTCAAACAGTAGGCAGTTGGATTCTTCTCAAACGCTCGCAGCTTCGAAGCTTCACTTGTTGGGTCCTCCTCAGCTGCACGCGGTGTCGACGCCTATGTGGCCTCTTCCTCAACTTCCTCAGCAGCAGTGCCTCCAGCACCGTCACCAACTTCACTCTCTGGAGTCTTCTCCTTCTTACGCTTCTTATGCGCCTTCTTGGTCGGCTTGGCACTCCTGTGTTTCAGCCTCTTTCTCTTCTTCTCTCCAGGTACTTTCTTCTTTTCACCTTCGAGCCCTGTGTTGTGCTCGCAATGGGTCCCCTTCTCCTGCTCTGTGATCTGATCCTCCTCAAGGTCTTCACACGCCCAGGAGCTGCAGGCGTGCTCCCGACTGCCTCAACAGCCCTGAAGGCCTTGGAGCAATCAGCTGCACTGGAGGAGCAGAAATGCCCCCACTCCCAACTCTGCTGGGTTTGCTTCCCGGCACTCTCTCTCTCTCTCCAGGATGGGTGCTGCTAGCTCAGCCAGATCTTGAAGCACACCTGAAGCTGTCCTCAAGGTTGTGAGCACGGCCTTGAGATCTGAGGAGTACGCTGCCTTGGCCTTGGACAAGATCCTGGATCCGTCTGATCATCCGACACCGCAAGCAGGGACTGCCAACGTAAAGATGGCACATAGTGCAAATCATGCACCGCAAGCTGAAAGCCGAAACACTCTGGAACAAAATGGTTATGTGCATCTTAAATGCCGAGGGCGTTGGTTCATATATATATATATATATTATATATACCATCATTAATTAAAAAATATCAGCGATGGCCTCCAACCTAATATCAATGGCCTACAATATATATATATATTATATATATATACATTATATATATATATTGCTTTTGGACACTGCTGGTCCGCATTTACCGAAAAGTCGTCCCCAACAAATCAAAACAAGGTTTCAGCATGTGCCACTAGCCTGGCCCAACCATGAGACGTTTTCACCTGCTCTAGATAGCTGCATTTGTGGCGCAAATGCATGGAGCAAAAACAAACAGCACTGGACGGCTTGACGATTGGGCACGTTCTTGCTTGAAAAAGGAACTGGGGCACGCTTTCCAGTGCGTTGGGTGTGGAAAGAATGTGGCAGAATTGTGTTGCGCATTGAGCACGTTCATGCGGAATCTTGCTGCAACACCCACAGCAAAAGAAATGGTTTTCATATGGCTATATAATAGCAATGGCCTCCAAACAAAGTGCAATGGCCTCCAACCTAATAGCGATGGCCTCCACCTAAGAGCGATGGCCTCAAAGGCGAAAAATGGGCTGTGCTCTGTGCTTGTTCTGACAACTTCTTCATTAAGAACGTATTGCTGTCACGATTCATGCCCCCGAGGAGACGGAGTGAACATGCAAACAGCAAGCATGTGTGACTACTATACCGGGAGACGATATACGACACTCATTGTCAGCGCAGGACATCAAGTAAGTGCGCATATTGGGGTCAACGCCCAACATGTCCAGGGGCCATCACGGCGCTTGCTGCGGCTCGAGGGACACACTCGGCTGGGGGCAAAGCCAAAACGACTGGCTCACGTGGCTCGTCGGTGGCTTTCGAAGGCACCACACTTGGCACCGCTGCCTCGGGCAAAGCAGGCAAAGTTTATTCTGCCAGTAGCCATGGGCTACAGCAAGGGTTGGGGAGAACATGGGAGAACTCAAGCCTGCCCATTAAAAAAAAACTATGATATATCATGTCATGCCACTTCCAAGCAAATGAATGATGATCTCAGTGAAAAAAAAAGACACATACAGCGATCAACACCACCGTGACTTGAAAAGAACAATGATATTGAACGTTGAGCAGCAACATTGCAGCAAACCAGTCGTACCATGTCGCAGGGATTGAAGATTATAAGCCTTCTACACCCACATGAAGCAAAGTTTGTGCCCTGCGACCGACGTGCCTTCTCGGTGAGAGGCGTTGACATTTGTCCAACACGGCCCAACAAGGCAGTTACAGACTGCTGCCATTCCACGTGCTGTTGCCTCAGCAAATCCATCGCTGCCAAGGAGTCCTTGGGCGGTATCAGGAGTCGGAGGAGTGCACGCTGCACGGAGCGAGGAAAGGATCTGTTCTGGGGTGGCCAACATCATTCAGATGTTCAGGGAAGGTTGAGACTATTCCGACCATTCCCCTCACACACTCTTGTTGTAAAATCCAGTTGACACAATGTGTTGGCGGAGCTCGTCAATATTGCAGGTGCATCGTGCACCCACGGCCAAATGATTATTGAATTTTTGAGCCTGTAATTAGGCAAACAGTCTCAGTATACATGAGTGCCGGATGAGAAGGAGAGCATCTTGCTGTCTTCGCTTGTTGGTAAACCGACACCGGACCCCGAGTCGTCCAGAAATCTTTCCAAATGTTCGGCCAAGTTGGTCGATTTACCAAGCCTCAATCCTGCGCAAACATGGGATTCCAAAATCCAAACTGCAGGTGGCAAGCCTGCTCCCGTCAGTCTTCTGAAAAACAAAGTTTGGATGGCACACTGCCCCCACAAACGAGGCGAAATGCGGTGAACATCTAGGGTGATCGGGTGATCAGCAAAAGCTTTGCGTCGTCTGACCGGGTCTTAAACATTTCAGAGCCTCATCCTTTGCACAAATGAATTCAATTCTGATGATGATGAACATTTGTCACTGTCGGAATGACTTCCAAAGATTTCGGGTTCTGGCAAGACTCTCGCTGTTGGTCCTGGACCTCTTGCAAAGCCAAAGTGAAGATATCGGACATGGCAGTCACAGTCTCGGCCACTCCGTCAGAATCGAGAAAACTCACAGGGCTGCGGAGAATTGACTAAAACTCTGTTCATGCAGTGGCCTTCAAATAGAGACCTCCTTCAAATAGAGACCTCCTATCCATTTGTAGTGAAGAGAGGATTTACTTTATTCGTGTTTGTCAATTTTTAAGTCGAGCAATTGCAGCTATACATGACCAAATATCACACAATTATTTGTGCAAAAATAATGTAAAAACACGCAAAGCACAAGCAAATGAAAATGCAAACGCAAAGCAACTTGCTTTGTTGTTGCATGTATTGAAATTGTTTTCATTTTTCATGGTACCATTTCTGCACTTATGAGAACTTTTACCCAGCAGCAATGTTCGCCGTACGCTCCTGACAAAAAAGTGAAATACGCGCGAGCAAACGCGAAACAATGCGAAAACAAAGCGGAAACACACACACACACGCGTGTGAAAAAGAGCTAACAAAGGGACAAACATGAAAAGCTACATGGCTACATGTGTTTTTTTGTTTGCTTTAGTGTTGCTTTTTGTTTGCTTTGTTTGTTCTTTAAATATTTATGTTTGCTCCTTGTTTTTATGGCTGTCGTGCCGGTCTCAAGTCTAGTTGAGATTGTCGACAATTTAGTGGGTGATAATGTCCACACATGAACACCCATGCCAAAAATATACACTTCAATAGGGCTAACAGTTTTGAAACATCAGATGCACACGACTACAGTACCATATAAATTATATGCAAATTTAAGTTAAAACCAACTTGTGTTTTTTTTCCACTTGTCTTGTTAAGTTAAGCATCCCTCAACAATCACACAGCATGTTTGTTTGTGCAGATGTCCAAAAACAATACATGTATATACATCAGTCAATCAAGAGGACCACAAACATATGTCCAATGTATAGTCTCTACATATAATATATATATTGCAAAACATATCGGCAAAAGCATGACATGCAATTGTGCAAATGATGTATAGTTATATATAGTTGTGGTATAGTATATAGTTGCAATCGTCGCTGCTGGGTGCCTGATGTTTTTTTGTTGTTTTTGTGGTATGAAGTGACGCGCTACCTTGGACTGGGTTGACATGGGGTGGGGGGGGGGCTGGGAAAATAGCACACCTGTTGCGTAGCGTTCTTCGCGCCTTCTTATATTTTTTCGCGCGGGTCACACAGACGTTTATGTTCCACGCATGTACGTCTGCATTCAACTCGCACAAACACATGCGTTATGGGGCATGCGTTTCCTCACGACCTGCACACAGCTGAGGTATCCAGCACATGCTCACGCAACCTGCGTGCTGTGTTTGGCTCAGGAAAGACATGCCGCAGCCGCAACCGTTGGTTCTTTTTGTTTTGGCGCATTTCCTGGTTCTTTTGTTGCGGTTGGGGCTGGGGGTTTTGAGGACATAGACGAGTTACCACCGGTTCTTCGACCCTGGTTTCGTGTTCACCCGGGGTATCTGGACGACTTGACTTTGGTTAGGTCTGAGTTCGTACTGGGGATCCTCAGATTGGCTTGATCATCGCAGGACCGTTGGTGTTTGGAATTTCAGGGTTTGACGGACTACGCATAATGGTTGCTTGGGTCTGTGGCTATCTGTTTGGGAACGTCAGTTGGAGACTCGTGAACGTTTGTTACCTTTAGCTTCTCCTTCTGGGGGGCACAATGTCGATGCTGGAGATGCGTGTGTGGCAATGGGTGTTTCAACTTGAGAACTTGCGTGGAATACCGGCAGAGAACGTGAAAGCGCTCTCCAAAGTGTGGAACGTGCCAAAACACGGTGCGCATGTGAACGCCGCAGCCTGACTGAGGGTGTGACGACTGCAACCCCGAAACGACCAAGCGCCTGGTGGCGTCGTTCTCATATAGTTATATATATATATATTTAAATTATATATATAGGGTTTTAAAAAAGAAACGACCAACTAAGGGGGATCCCCAAATCTTGGATGACATATTGATACATATTGACACACAATCTATCAACCATCAGTTATTGCCGAATATCAGCCTCTAAAGAGTACCCCCGTAGAGGCCCCATACCACAACATTATTGATACCAAAAAGGCTGAGGATGTTGCAGCCTCGTGCTTTCTTTCCGTTCTCAATCACAAAGTCACGTCAAACCGACTGCGCATTTGCTCTGCTGAAGCAGTCAGAATCAAAGGGCGAAAAAGGAAGGACAATTCTTTGGATGTGTCCCAAGTAGAGGAATTTCCCTTTCATGTCCCTTCAGCCAACTCCCAGCTCGTTTACCCCTGCAATCTGAAACCCAATTCCCTTCAATTTCCTTCAATGGTTCCTCCTGACTCCTACTCCCACGGTTGCAGCATCTCCCAAATAACGGTCCATGTGCCTGATTCCCTTGCATTTCCCTCTCACTATAAAGTCCCAACCCCAAATCAAGGACAATGATTCATCGGCGTTCACCAATTCCCAGCTCCTACCACAGTCTCGAATGAAGCAACATCTGTCTGATCCCATCTCACCGCAATTTCCGGCCCCCGCCCCTGGCAGAATCCGGAATGCTCTCACTTTTGGGCAAGTCTCGACTCGACCCTACGTGATTACAACGACAGCAAACATGTTGCTGAGCCGTCGTGACAGCATGGGTGGTACAGCCTGACTCTTCGAGAACAGCTGGACCAACTCTCCAGTGCAAAAGCTCTAAATTGAAATGCCGAGGCTCCGATCGTGAAACTCAACAGCTTCTATATACCCTGGGCTTGAAGGCCACAAGCTCTCAAAGCGAGGGCCATGGGAATCAACATGTCTGAAAAACATCAAGTGGTCGTTGGGATATATATATATAATTATATATATTATATGATGCCCCGTAGTACCCCCAGGGTAGTCTTCTTGAGTTTGCCTATGGCAGGCTCTGACCTTTGCCTCGTCCTCTTGTGCTACTTATGGCCACGTCTAGTGGCCAACCAGGCAGTATTACAGCCTCACAAACGAGCATTCTCGACTGTCAGACCAGGGGAATTCTCACCAGGATCACGACCTCTTTTCCTGGGCTTCAAAACAAAAACACCAGCAATCAAGACTGCAAGGGTGCTTGCAGGTTGCAGACTTAAAGTGCACATATGTCCTTGTTTACCGAACATAATTCTTTGCAAACAAGATGCCAACATTGCATGCAAGGCCGGTATGCTCAGGGGTATGCTTCTATACGCTGCTATCTTCCTTGCCTAGCCTAGTTGGCTGAAGGAACAACTGAAGTGTTCCCACCTGATAATGATAAATAAGCCCACTGATGTTTGCAGTGTTTTTCATCCAAAAAAGTAACTATATATATTGAATGTGTTTTTCTTCACAAGATCAGGCTTCAAAAGCTCCAGTTCATTGGAGATTTGAATCGTCTGCCTCCGAATAGGAATCACCAACTTCTGCAACTGCACTGCCCAACTAGGCATGTCCATGAGTAGCACCTCGGCAACAGTTTGAGGTGCGAACCTTTGAGAAGGAAAACATTGATGAACACCCATCATGAGTATACTATGTATATTGAAATATCGTTTCTAGGCCCTCGTTCATTCCGAATTCCGGACCATTGACACAGCGCATTATGCTCAATGATGGCAGTTCTCGATTTGAAACTCAATTACCCCCGCCTTTCAAGATTGATTTGGTCTGATTTCACTTCCTTCGGCTACCGCAGGAGTTGTGATTCATCGACTCATGTGCGTCTGGTCAAGCAGGACAGCAATGTGGGCTTCCAGGACTGCGCGACCGAACAGGAAAGGAACACCAAAGCACAGGAAGCCAATAGACTGATTGGAGATTGGAGGGAGAAAAGCCTTTGTTGGTGCCTTTTGACATCTTTTGACTAGGAATGTTGATCTGCCATTGACGCCAACACGGCCACTGTTGGAAGTTGGTTGTTGGAAGTTGGTCTTCAGTCTTCAGCTCAAGTCGATGATCCGGACGCGGTTGCTCCCAGCCCGCATAAAACACCTTGATGTGATTCCTGAGCCCAACGAAAAGCCTTGGATAGAATTAAACAAGAATTATATACAGACCTATTTGGTCAAGCGCATGATCACCATCCTATTTTACACATGTTTACACCAAATGCGCCTTACTGTAACTGGACTAAAAGACAACACCAAAAACGACGGTGAAGAAACACTCGTCGCCCGGAACCAACGAACGTCGCCTCCGAACCAACGAAACAACTCGGAGTTCAGGGCTGTTGGAAGGTGGTTCGAGGCACAGGAGAGGTTCAGAGCAGTCCATGTCGTCCGATCGGCGATTGGGCCCAAAAAGAAGACATAGAACACTTGTATTGGAGCAGGACGTCCAGTTCCAGCTAGTTGCATCCCAAACGCACAAGTGTCCTCTTCTCACAGCACTACGGAGGCCGTGTGTGAGAAGTAGGCACTCTAAACAATGAACTTGCTAAGTGAAAATCATCCAGCAACTCCAAGTTTCTCGAGAACCCGTTTTTTACCATCGTTGAAGGAACCGATACGTGGACACCCCGAGCTCTGCCGCTCCCTCCTCACGAGCCAGCCAACAAGGCCAACAATACATCTCACAGCAAATTGAATCAAATTCCAAATCCCCCAGGAACTCAAGACTCTCATCACCTGCCCACACAGCCGTTTCACCTCTTTGCAGTTCCCTTCCATATCTGAATTTGAGGCCGCCACCGAGAGCAAACCCTCCAAGAACTCAGCTAAGCCTCACTGATCCAAACGAATGGAAAAACAGTTCCTCTGGCTGTTGCCCAAACATTGGCTCCTGGCATCGCTACTAGGGGCAAGGACGCTACTAGGGGCTCCTGGCCTTACTACTAGGAGCAAGGACGCTACTAGGAGCTCCAAGTTTCTTGGATCCAAAGAAGCTACTAGTAGGTCAACAAAGAGGTTTCAATTGATACAACAGATTGTCGTTCTTTCGCATTTGACACCCCACTGGTTATGTTTCAAACGGGCTGTGCTCAACACTATCTTTCTTTCACCCAAATCCGTCATCCTCCCATTGCAACTGATCACCTTTATCTTTGACCTCTGCACACACAAGCCCTGACAATCAATTATAAATCCTGTGGCTCATGCTTTCTCATGCCCGGGCTTGCACACCATGGACCCCTCAAATTTACCAGAACCCAAAACTAGTGTTAGTGCTCACTAAATTATTACAGCAAAAAAAACGCAATAAAAAGAACAATTGATGTTGTTCCATCTCACAAAGTTGTTCCATCTCACAAAGGGGCTCACTGGCAAAGCCCCCATTTGAGTGCATGTGGGTTGGTACTTAGACGCAACATGCGAGTCCATAGCCCCTGTATACTGACCCACCTGGAATCTCAATGGCAGTGTGTTGTAGTTTGAGATGCGGCATGTGGTGTTGTACAAGGCCCTTTACCGGGGACTCTAGGAGAGCAGCTGCCGTTTGGCTGCGGTGTGTCAGTTTATCTGTCCTCCCAGTCTTGATCTGTTTATATATACTTATGCTTATATATATATATATACTGAGCCTGCTGTGCAGGTAGCAGTGGGATAGGTCTGTCATGATTGAAGGGCAGACTGAAAAAGTGTGCGAAAAAACTGGAAACACAACAATTGGCTGCCAAGTCACAGTCGTTTTGATTCTAAACCTACCAGATTGATATTCTATGAACCACGTGTTTTGTGCCATGTGCTTGCAAACCACTCTATCTAACTTGGCCGTGACACTCAAGCTACCGCCACCGTCTGCGTCCAGAAGCTCGAACATGTCCTCCATGCTGTCGACCTGAAGAGCCACATCGCTGTCCGACCAGGTACGGCGCCTCCCAGTGGTGGATGGTGAGTATAGTACGGGTCTGAGACATTTGGCGTTTGAAAGACTGAAGCCAAGTACTCATACCAAAGGTGAAAGCCGTGGTTAACCCCACAAAAGTGGTGAGTGTGCGGGATTGTGTGTGTGTGCATATATGTTCTCAATACTTGAGGAGCTGTGCGTGATGATCGTTTCATGGGGATCTCTGGGACGTGAGACTTCACAGTGGTGGGGTTAAAGTGGAGTGACCACGTCCAGTTCAAAAGTTCCAAGAGACAGTGACCTTCTCATAGACCTTCTGGGGCAGCACATGCAAAGGCACATTAGCCACCTCCTCAAGTGTGATGTAGCCGCTCCCATCCTGGCAACGACGTGAGTCGCATGACTTGCGCTGTTCAGTAGCAAATTGTGTGAAGGTCCATGGAATTGAATTGAAGCTTTTTGGAGATGCAATTCACGCATCAAAGCCCATGTTCGAGGATGGCACCTTACTTACATCCTTTTGAAAGTTCCTCCATCAAACAGAACAGCAACAAGCTTTGAGTAATCCTTTGGCCGCACCTGGTCCAAGGCCGAGAAAATCTCCAGCAAGTCAGGCAGAGTGGCCTTGATCTGCTCTTTGGTCTTGATGCGTGCAAGCTCTGCTTCTTGAGAGGCATGCTCGAGCGCATGCTCCTCGGAAGATGGAAGCCCTCAATGGAATAAGCGTCAGCTCGCCCCCAAACACACGACCCCCCCAAAAAACACACACACATATATATATATATAGCAGTAAAAAATAATGACTAGCCGCAAGCCAACATGGATGCTTCTTGTGCCACCACACAATTGAAACCTTTATATATTCTTTGGCAATCCTGAAACAGTTGCACGTCCAACTCAATCAGAAAATCAGCCCAAGAGTCCACCAAAACTGCAGTGACCAAGTTCATTAATGCAATTGACAAGAACATCAAGAGGGGAAGGAAATAAATGATCAGGAAGGGTTTCTGCATGACGAGCGGAAAGTAGATGTTGGCGATGCCATCCTTGGCTCCCAGCGATCCCAGCTGGGACAAAAGCATGGCGAACCGGTGAAAGGTGCTAACAACATGACTCAAAAACCTTTGAATTGCCATCCTGATTGCATGTATCATCCCTATTCTTGTCGAATATGCCTTTCCTGCTCTGAACATTCATATGAGGTCTGGTTGAACAGTTGTTTCATGTTGTTTCCGTGTCCAATTGTGTGTGATTGCTAACATGCTCGGCACGACTCCCACTGTACGGAGTTCTGGTGGGTGAAAGCTCAAACGAACCACCAACCTGACCAATCTGCCACATGGAGTTGAAGGAAAACAACGCACGCGATTCTCCCAACTGCGTGAACCGCCAAGCGGCAACCGCTACTTTCTCCCAACGATTCTTAAGGCATTTATATACAGTATGTTATGTTGTTAAAAATATCATAGCAACCCCTGAAAAAGATCCGGCAGTGTCGACGTTTGCAAAACCTCCACTCACTGCCCTCCACTCACTGCCCCCGAAGGCTAAAGGAATCAATATTGCTCCTCTTCAGTGGCTGGTGGGTGGGTGGGATCTCTTTATTCACCTTGCCATGCTGAACTCATCTGATTCGATCCTTAATTCAATCCTTGACCATGGGCCAATGGGCTTGACTTGAGAGCCTTTCATAAGCCATGGCCAATGGGCTTGACTTGAGAGCCTTTCATAAGCCGAAGCCTCGCATTTCATCTCAAAGACACAAGATCCAGTGGTTTTTCTCTTGAGCAATTTTCCTTTTGATCATAAGGCCCGAAACCTTGTTCATGTCAAAACCGAAAGGTTCAAGTTACCCGATGGACCAGGGAACCAAGGGGACGAGGGACCAATTAATGATATTAGTGTAAAAATATCTCATCAATTCTTGATGCCATCCCAATGACAATTGATAGATCTGTGGTGTTTGCATTGCACTAGACAGTCAACAGCCAATATGCCATTGCCTCCTGTGTGGAACCATCTCGCACAAGTCCCTCAGCAGTGATCCATTAGGGTGACACTTGGTGCTTTCGAGCCGAATACCATCGCTGAGCCACAACACTCACAACTGCATCACATTATTACTATATATAACATGTATATATATATATATATGTCTGGGTTACATACAGCATATGCACCTAGTTGCACATACAGTACCAGCATTTGCCCACATTGAGCATTTTCGCCATCCAATCATGCTGCCGTGAATGGCACATGTCAAAACCACGAGTTGGGAGCCTTTGGTTTCAACACTTCGGTCCTAGGATCCAGAGTAACAAACTGCAACAAGGTCAGCGTTGCTTTGGGCAAACTGCTGAAGTTCCTCCTCACGATACCTGCAGTCTCTGCATTGTCTCTGAGATCCGGGTCATTTGCAATGACCTCCGCAGCGATACAACCTCAGCATCACTTCATACAGGAATGTGTGTACCTAAATTTAAGTAGAGGCGACACCAACCCGGCTTACGGTCTTTGACTCACACCTGAGTACAGCCATCTGGTTGTCCAAAGAAACACACATTAGTAAACAGTAGACGTAAAATATGTTTGATCATGCTTGGGGGACATCACTATCGTCACTTTGGACCGCAAAGCGGCAACTTGCAGTTGTAACTCATTGAGCCACATTTATGTTTTTGCTCTTGTAGTTTATGGTGCATGACCACTCGCCGTGCCATACCCAGAAACAGGCTGCCCACTATAAGTACAGGTGTTTTACAACATCCTGTCGAATCCATCCCCACAACTTGGAAGTGTGAACGACTACAGGGCGACAAACCCTTGTCCACCTCCTCAGCTTTGCAACAAGAAGCCATTGCCAAAGAAAGTCCCACAAACAGACAAACATGGCAGGTGTCTCTGAATCAACTGTCGATGGAAGAATTTGCACCCTCGACAGTAGGTGGACCTCGCATGACCCCACGATTGATGAAATGCTCTGGTGCCTGTGTACCCCCACGCGATGTTGCTTGCTTGGTTGTTTGTCTCTTTTGGGTGCCTGGCCGCCGAAGATGTAAAGACCCAAGAAGATCAAAACGGTCCTTGGCCATCCGTTGGATGAGGTGGCGGTACTCATGGAGTCCTAGTGTTGGTGCGACATGCAAGTGCGAAAAGACAAAACTTCAGAACCCAGAAACCCTCGTGAAAACTTACTTCTGAAAGAGTTGAGATCTAGGAATAGATTGATGGAACCTATGGATGTTTGGAGAAGTCCTCCCCAAACAACACATTTAGGGCAACAAGGCTATTTTGGGTGAAAGCGACTAGGACAACACTTTGCTTGTCAAAGTTCACGCGTCTTGCCACCCACTGAAGAGACTTAGTGATTCGGCACTCAATTTCTCTGCAACTGTGCATGGACGAATCCTGGACTAAATCTACAATATATATATATGTGTGTGTGACATATGCAATTCCATAGGATATGAGTGGATGATAGTGGATGTATGATTTACTCTCGGGGAAAACATCGTACCCCCCCCAAAAAAAACGAAAAAAGTTATGTTAGTGGCCCGGGGCAAAAGCATGCTGGAAGCGGTCTATGTTAAGGGCACCTTGCTTTTTTGAAGGCTACAGGAAACGGTGTATGTTAGCTGCAAATTGGACCCCTACGGTGGTCCATGTTAATTGCACAATCAATGCGCTGTGCCAAACAAAATGTTTGCTGTCTCTTGGATCCAGCTATGCACAATGCACAGCAGCAAGTTGAGTGTTGAAAAAAAAGGTACAGTACAGTCAGTACTTAAATGAATCCTTCAGAATGAATCATTCATTGATGCCGGTATTGCATGGTCTATGCTGGCATTCTGCTTCGGGGTTTAGTTCCAAAGCCATGGACCCACCTGACGCCATGCATTTCTCATCATTGGCATGCAAACCATCAGTCAGGGAATAAAAAAGGGCCGACTGGAATTGTCCATGTCTCTGTTAATTTTGGCACTGGGCATGGTTCATGTTAATGGTATTTGAGGCTCTCACACTCCAGGATTTTGCCATGTTAATTTTCCACCCCCTAACATAGACCTATCTTTGACGTTCCATGTTAGTTGCCGTCCTTTTGTCTCAGACAATGACCAGCCAGAAAGTGGCCGTGTGTTTCCCCAGGAATTCACCGGTTACCGTGTTCCATGTCAAGTGTCCCTCAAAACAGAAATCTGTTCTATGATATTTTCCTGGGGTGTATAGCCTAGGGGCTACTGGCCTTACTACTAGGAGCACGAAGCTACTAGGAGCCTCTGGCATCGCTACTAGGAACAAGGACGCTACTAGGGTATATGGATTCTTCCCATTTGGATCTTGCCATTCTTCCCCATGCTGCGGCTGCGCCTGGTTCTGCCCAAGGCACGTTGAGGCCATGGTGTCCCACACGGAGAGCAGCCCGGACACGAGGCGCCAAACCACCTCACCGGTGCTCCGGAGTGAGGTGCTGAGTGCAGTGAAGCTATAGCGACAAGGGAAAGGGTCCGCCTTGTGTGGGTCAGATCAACTTATTTTTCATGTTTTGTATATGTTTTCTGTTGAAAGATGTTGATTCCATATGATTCCATATTATTCCATAGATTGATCCGACTAACATATGTTAACATATGTGTACTGGTGGTCAACATTGGTGAACCCTTCCCACCAAGCCCAACGGACTTTCGTGGCACAAACCGAGTGGCAATGGAAGTTCATCAGGGAACCGAGTTCATCCCAACACCCAAACACTCCAATGTGGAATCTGTTTGTTGACCCTGACGAGATTGCGTCGATTGCGTCACATGGCGTAGTCCTCACAGTGGCCCCCCCACCTTGAAGCGCTTCACCGTCCGAAGGATCCGGGCCAAGCGAAGCAAGCGAAGGCCTCCGGGCCCAAGCGAAACACCGGATGCTAGATGAGTTCGGTCATCCGGGACGCATCCGGGAGACCGGCTCTGAAAACGCCCCAATGAAGAATTCCACAAATTACATGAATCTGATCAAATCTGTGATCTTTGGGGAGGAGCTGGGGGAACTACACAATGACATCACAGGTTTGAAAGGATTACCCCGACTTTTTCCAAAAAAAACAAGGCATACAGTACACAACTGCATGATTTGTCTTAAGCTCCAAACTCCAGGAGATTTCAAACAACAAAGGTAACGAACATGCCGAGTGTTCTGTTGCTTCTGCGGAAATTGTATCCTTGCAATCTCCTGGGTGTGATCATGACTCGTCCTGACACCTCCTCCCCAAGTCTCAGGCCGTTTCCCCGCCTCTGACGATCAAAAGCTGCATCCAGCCTTCCTGGGAGCTGGCCTCTGACTCCACCAAGGGCACAACCACCAAGGCCACCAAACCGACGCAAACCAAAAACACGTCCAGCCTCAGAGCCGTAGCCACCCGCACGTGGCCCCTTCTTCAGGTTGTCTCCATATTCACAACTGCTCTTGGGTCACCTGTTTCCAGCTGGTTGGTTTCCACCCAGCTGAACAATACGAATGATTAGGATCGATCCTAAGTAAAGGTGGCAGTAAAAACATCTCAAACTACCAGGCGGTCTGCTCATGTACTGTCATGTTGTACAATCCCGTTTCCTCACATGAATAGGAGTATAGTATACAATAAGAATAAATATACATTGCTTAAACGCCCACAAAGGCATCTGTATTCGTTTGCAAAGATGTCATTCTCATGAAAGTAATTAAACGCTTCTCACGGCTGCACTGGTTGTTGCTCAGCTGGGGCACAACTGTCACACTAGCCCTCCCAAACAAAACATTGACATGTTCCTCAGGACCCTCTTTGTCCGACCCAGCGCAAGGCCGCTTCTGTTTGGCTGTTTGGCCAAGCGTGACAGTGGCAGTTCATACAAGACGTGTTCGTCAAAAGTGAACCCCATAGAAAAGGCTAGCTGAAAACCCGCCCAACCATGGCCAAATTCAACAAGTATGAACACAAAGCATGCCAAGGCATGCCAACATATGAACACAAAGCATGCTGTGCAGTGGCCAAGGCACCAAAACCAGGAATTTTGGAAGGCCTCTCGTCCACCTGCAGTGAGTCGGATGAGTAGCTCCACCGTGTAGATCCCCAAGAAGATCCTCTCGACGTCGGCAGCCCACCAGGTGTCCATGCCTAACAAATCCATCTCAGCCTCCGAAACGTGGGTCGGGTCGGCAGACGGTCCGACCGTGCCGGTCCAAACACAAAGACACCGCACGTGTAGACACTGTCCCTCCATCAAAAACCAACTATATATAGGTCGAAATGCTTTATCAGTCGCTGTCATAGGCACTGGACATTGCATAACCACAGCACACATCTTTTGAATTTGGTTGCGCATTTCATTGGGGTGACCTGGCTAGAATTGAGAGCTTGTGTTAGTGCTACAATGTTCCCAGCGTCTGGGTTTCTCTCTATTCTCAATTCTCAAAATGCAATATCGAAAAAGCCCCCAAAAGAGCCAACAGAAACACTTCCCACAAGAAACAAACGCCAACAACCAACGAACGAACACGCACACAAACGCAACACAAAGAAACAACGCAAGAGTGGAAGGTTGGTTGGATGGCCTCTACACCAATGAGCGCAATGTTCATCAGGATCAAAACTGCAGTGACGTATTCAAAGGCTGTGGAGTCGACCACCTGGGGAGGTGAGAGGTGATCTTTCTCCAGCTTCCTAATGAAAAGCAGAAGTATCTTTCACTTGAAAAACCTGGTGGCTAGAATGATGACCTTTGAGTGAAACAGCCAAACCTTTGCAGTTGCATGGACATTGGCTGCATGTTGCAACATGAGGGAGCTCTCGGGCATGAGATACTACATGTACAGCCTTGCAAGGTGGTTTCTTTCAACCGCAAAAGGCTTTTTAGTCTAAGTCAGTAGAAGTCATCTAAAGCGGAACAAAAAAACCTCTGCTCGCCAACAAAATGGGCTACATGCCATAGCATCAAGCATCCAAACGACAAAGCGTCACAAGTGACATGTTCTGACAGTCAACACTAGAGTCAACACTGTCAAACTGCCGGCAGGGCCAAACAACTTGCTGGGGACCATGTAAGACAAGTCATACAATTAATATAGTATAGTTTCTTGAACGCCCCTCACGATTTGCTGGTCTTGCAGTGTGCAAGCATTTTGGCAGTGTTGACTGTAAAGCGCAACATGCCTTGCTATGTGGCATTCTTGAAGGGTTTCTGAAGCTTTTGTTGCCCGGCCAAAAGTTGGGTAGTGCGTGTCGTTCCGGGGAGGCAATGTGAGGCTTACTGAGCCAAATGATTTTGCTTTGATGGTGTGCCGGTGACAAACGAGGCTGCAAGCCATTGTGCTAAGTAGTGAAATTGGTGGAATAATTCCTGCACCACTTTGATACATATAAGTGTTACAAACTCGTCCACACCGGACAAACCAGCAGCCCCTCACCCGCATTCAATGTTGGTGAGGCATGCTAGCAAGTGGTGCAGGATATTTGTCAGTTGGATCTTTGGTTTGTGTTGATACTGGGTGCAACATGATGCAACAATGTTAATAACAAAGGGCCAAATGAGTGCAAGGGTTTGAGGTATCATCATCACAAAAGCGGTGCAGGAATTCTGCCACCAACAGCACAGCAGAAGTCCCACAGTATTCCCAACGAGTCTATGAACCTTTGAAGTAGATTGTATGTATTTTTATGTATTTGTTATCCTTCCCAGTGTTCAATTATAGACCCTGCATCACACATTACGAACCCAAATCCAGGGTGTTATGAGCCTAATGCCGGTCATGCATTAACCAAGCAACAAGAATTCTCAACAAATGTGGCGACCAATCTTCTGAAGGACTTGTCTATCGCCAAAAAGATGTGTGGGCGAGTCTATGTGACCCCTCCAAGTTCACACACTTCCAGTACACACTTCTCGCTTCACACCAGTGAGCGCCATCCCGTCCCAAGACCGTATTGTAGAACCTCGTGGTAGCTAAGATTATATAAGGGTATATTTTTGTTTTTATCAATTGATTGGCTTTCTGTCAAATGAGTCATATTACTTATTCTAGGACTCTAGGATCTCCAATTGTTGAGGGGGGAGAGGGGGGTTTGATTAATCAAGAGTCAACATTAGACTAGACCATCAGCCCTTCGCTGTCGAGAAGCCGTCTTTAAGGTTTCGCGTCTCTCCTGCCAGACCGTCAACCTGATCCTGGCGCGTCAACGGTGGGCCAAAGCATGCCTCTTGATCCTCTTGATCCTCTTGAGAGGACCCGACACGCGCAACAAGAACAAAGGCCAGGCCTCAGGTCAAACAATTGGTGCAAAACAACTCTTGCGAACCCTAGCCGTCCCGAAACAGCGGGCCGAAACAGCGGCCGGGCCCTGGCGGCCCTGAGGTCCGTCTACCTCCCAAAAGGGTTGTTCATTCCAGGATCATGCACCAGCCAGCTCAGTCTCATTTCCAAGAAGTAAGAGATTGGAAGCAGGGCTGTCCTGAGGGCGCAGCCCTTGAAAGACAATGCTATCTACACAAACATAGGAGAGTCATGGACAGTCATTGACCTCCCTTCACGAGGGATGCCTAGGCATATTCTGAAGATTCTGAAGCAGCCACCTCCAACTCCCACAAACACACAGAACGCTCATACAAACACACACACACACAAAACAAAAGAAGGAAACACCCCCCAACCCTCTCCCTTTCTGGGTGGGATTCCTCAAATCGCCTGAAACCGCCCTCGAAAACCAAGCGTTGTGAACCTCTTTTTGCTGTGGTCGGTCAGGACCTCTTCCAAGAGCTTGGGCAAGCGGCCGTCAGCCCCGACGGTTTGCCTCCGGATCGACCCACAGGGCCAGGATGGCTTGGAATCCGCTTCCTAAGCGGATTTGGAGGTGAATTCCAGGGGACACAAACATGCGTCACAGCCGTATCACTTAGAACCACTACTTCTTCTGCCATCCCTTCTGCGCCCGATCTCATCGGATTCGCTCGGAGTCTCTCGAACTGGTCAGCCGGCCTCAAGGTTTGTCTCATCTGGCTGACTCTGGCCGCTTCAGAGGTGTCGTTGGGGTCCAGCACCGTGGCTTCGCTTTCGGAGCTCCGGAGTCTCTGGAGCTCCGCTGGGGTCTGGACCTTCAAATGTTGGGTCGAAGCAGTGGTTGGCACCCGAAACGGGAGGTCGGCACATTTGCTCAGGCCATCTCAGGCCGAAACACATATTTAGACTTTAGACCTAAAACAGTAAAGCCAAACAAGCAATAGCTAGCCCAGTTTGTTGCACCCTGTCCCCACCGTAGGTGAAAGTGCTTTAGACATGTTATATATAAGACCAGGGCCGTTCACGTTGGTGTTGCTTTTCAACTTTGGATGGTAGAAAATGCATATACTCTGAGGGTACACCTTGGTAGTTTCAGGCCTTTCATGCGCAGCAGGGTGAAAAAGTACATGAAACATACAACTGGATTTGAAGACATGCAGTGCGCGTGCCTCTTTCCAATCAGTTGTTTCACATCAGACTCTAAAGAATCATGGTTGCTCCAAATACTTGCTTTGCAGGACAAGTATTTTGCTTGTCTAAACCCAGCAGCTACTGCTTCATGTTTATCTATTGTTGTGGCCCAGGAGGAGGCACTCTTGGACAAATGACTCTTCTCAAAGAAGTTTGTCGCAATCACAGATGCAGTGCCAACATGAGACAAGCCACACTAAGTCACATGTAGAAGGGGCAAAGAAATGTTGTAAGGTTGTGGTTCCATTCTCTTATGCCCATGGCCACCAAAGCCGCGGCTAAGTTTACAAAGAACAAGGTGACGCAAATCCGAGCAGCTCTTGTGCAGAAACAAAGCCCCCAAAAGGAAATTGCCAACAGCACACCCGGCGACATGTTAGCTTCTTGTCCCAGGGTGGCCTATCTTGCCAGGCTGTGAGAAGAGTCTTGGCCATTGCAGGCTCAATCGAACAAGGATTTGAGTTTGGCAGTGCTAGCTGCGCAGCGGCTGTTTGCCGAAGTCTTCAGCATTTGCCACGGACACTCTTGGTGTAACATATGGGTGACTTGCTGATGTATGACGAAGTCGCCGTGGTCGCCTGCTCTGTGCAGCTTTTTCTCGTGAGTTCCTGCGGTCGAGCGTGATGCGGACGTCAGGGTCCAACATGTTCCATCATCTTCAACGGTGCTCACCATCAAGCCAAGGCCCGCGCGACTTGCATGGACTCCACGGGCGAGGTTTGTCCAGTCGATGGAAGCTCCGGAAACAGCCAGATTCTCGGGTTTGTTCTGAGCCGGTGGTAGGGGCTCAAACAAGAGGCATTCCCCGAAACTCTTCAGTAAAGGTCAACTCTTTTGAGGGTTTGTCTCACAAGTTTATGGAAACCCATGGCTGGCAGGCCGTGTTTATTTGGCAAATGAAAGATTTTGCTTGCGCGACGGAAAAAATTGACCGTCAAGTCCTGGTTTGGATCAATCTAGATGAAACTTTTGCTTGCTCTCTAGAATGTCTGAGAGGCTGCGTGCTTGTCACCAGTTCTGGCAAACTCACCCAAAGGATCCGCATCTTTTTGGTGCGGAAGGACAGGCGAAATCGCTCACACATCCTAGTCATCCGGCGATTGAAGCAATGTTGCCACACTTTGTCTGCGAGACCCGGATGCCAAAGTCTTGCCCTCAAAGCCCAAGAGCGGGGGACAGCTGTGGGAAGTCCCCGTCAGACTTGCTGGCCGATTGGATCAGAGTTTTCTTGGCTTTGAGAAAGGCTCTCCCGGTGCCGGACTGCCGAAACCAATAACCGTTACTAAAAAAATAGATATATACACATACAGTATATTCTGTTGGCGGTAGCGATGGGTTCCAACCTAATAGCAATGGACTCCAACCTAATATATAGTGATGGCCTCCGGTCCGCATTTACCGAAAAAACGCCCCCAACAAATCCAAAAAGGTTTCAGCATGTTTCAGCGTGTGCCACTAGCCTGGCCCAACCATGAGACGTTTTCACCTGCTCTAGACATAAGCTGCATTTGTGGCCCAAATGCATGGAGCAAAAACAAACAGCACTGGACGGCTTGACGATTGGGCACGTTCTTGTTTGAAAAAGGAGCTGAGGTACGCTTTCCAGAGCGTTGGATGTGGAAAACATGTGGCAGAATTGTGCTGCGCATTGAGCACGTTCATGCAGAATCTTGCTGCAACACCCACAGCAAAAGGAAATGGTGTTCATATGGCTATATAATAGCAATGGCCTCCAAACAAAGAGCGATGGCCTCCAACCTAATAGCGATGGCCTCCACCTAATAGCGATGGCCTCAAAGGCGAAAGATGGGCTGTGCTCTGTGCTTGTTCTGACAACTTCATTTTAAAAAAAAAGTGTTGCTGTCACGATTATGTCCTCGAGGAGACGGAGCGAACATGCAAACAGCAAGTGTGACACTCTATAGTGCTGTATATTATGCATATACTGAAAGATATCCGACAGTCATTGTGACCCAAACCTGCTTCGCAGGACTTCAAACAAGTGTGCATATTGGGGAAACCGCACAACATTTGTCTCCCACTCGGGCGGCGCTCGCTGCAGCTCGAGGGACACACTCGGCCGGGGGCAAAGCCAAAACGACTGGCTCGCGTGGCTCGTCAGTGGCTTTCGAAGGCACCACACTTGGCACCGCTGCCTGGGGCAAAGCAGGCAAGGTTTATAGGAACCAAGGCTGCAAATAGCCATGGCTCCGGCTACAGCAAGGGTTGGGGAGAACATGGGAGAACTCAAGCCCATAGAAAACAAACTAAGATATGTCATGCCATGCTACTTCCAAGTAAATAAATGATGATCTCAGTGAAAAAACATACAGCGATCAACAGCACCGTGACTTGAAAAGAACAGTGGTATTGAACATTGAACAGCAACATTGCAGCAAAGCAGTGTACCATGTCGCAGGGTTCGAAGATATATACGAAAATTAAGCCTTCTACACCAACATGAAGCAAAGTCAGAATTGTGCCCTGCGACCGACGCGCCTTCTCGGTGAGAGGCGTTGAGATTTGTCCAACACGGCTCAACAGGGCAGTTACAGACTGCTGCCACTCCACATGCTGTTGCCTCAGCAAATCCATCGCTGCCAAGGAGTCCTTGGGCAGGATCAGGAAGGAGCTGGACAAATACAATGGTTTCAGAGTAGATTGCACAATCCCCAAAAGGTTGTTCATATGGATCCCCGTATAAAGGACCTCTTTGAGCTTTGGGTTTGTGCCACATCTGCTCTGAAACGGTTTTTTCGTCGTGTGGACGCCCATCCACCCCGTAGGCACACTCCGCTCTCAGTCTCAGGTCCGGAAAAGAGAGCATCTGGCGCTCTCGTTGCCGGACCTGGCTGCACCCTGGCCTTCCAGCCAAACCAACCCAGAAAGATCAAAGAATGGCCTACGAGGAGGAGTTGGGGTAGAAGGATCCCACAGCCTCTGGGATCCTTGAGCTGCATTTTTCCTCCAGGGTAGTGAATATCTGGAGGTTTTTGCACCATCCGACCAAGTCAAAAGCTTTTGACACTTTACATGATGCTATTTCAGAACCTCATTCTATTTGCATGGCATGACTCCTGATGATTGGGGGCCCCAAGAAGTCTTTGTCCGTCACCGCCAAGGATTTCCAATGATTCTGAGGATTTCCCGGCAAGAGTCTCGCTGCTGGTTCTGGACCTCTTGCAAAGCCAAAGAGAAGACATCGCACATGGCCGATCACTGCCGGTCACTCGGCAAGTCAGGTGCTGGACGTTGCCCACACGGCTGCGGACCGATGCAGCAAGTCAAAACTCCGGCAATGTGGTACAGTCGTCCCCACATAGAGATAGGACATCCGATCACAGGGGGCCTTTCTCTCCGGGGGTGTAAAGGAATGCATACTTGAGCAAACTTTCTATTCTTTTTTGGACCGTCACATTGTTTGAAGATGATTGAAACAAGACATTGGGCGGAAAAGGACAAAACCGTTTCCAAACCAGTGCGTTCTTCCAAACTATCCTGCATCAGCTATCATCAGCTGGTGCAACAACTCCTACTCCCCCCTCTCACTTTTCAGGCAGTTCAACATGTCAAGGTCTTGACTCTACGACTCTACAAAATGTAAAATGACCTCAGCCGAAGAGCTCCTCAAAACACCTGAACAAATGTAGACGACTTAAAATTGTCGAACCGGGACAACGATGGTGCAGCCTGACTCTTTGAGATCAGGTTGGGCCACACTCTCCCGAAAAAGAGTCTGCAAAACCTTCTGAAAATGGTTAGTGAGGAGAGATCTAGAAATGTGGAGGCTCCAAACATGAAACTCGACAACCACTCCTGACAGCAGAAACAACAGCAACTTCAACTTCTACATAGCCCACTCGAGCCACCAACTCCAAAAACGACCGACCAGGGAAAAACAAATGTCTACAAACAATCTACACATGGTTGTTGGGAAATCTTGTTATGTCATATGTGTCTTCTTCTTGAGCTGCTTTTGCCTCTTTGCTCACTGGGCTGAATCTGACTTTTGCCCCGGACTCTCCTCTCTGATTTAGTACACTGTTACAAAAGGCTGTGTCCGCTGGCCCGCCCGGGCAGGGCATCACACACGAGCATTCTCAACCATCAAGTTCTCACTCCTCCCAGCCGGATCACGACTTCTTTTCCTGGGCAAATCACAAGCACCAACATACAAGAATCTCCGGTTGCCCTAAAGAGCAAGCTCAAGCAACACAATCGAAACGTTATTTGGGAATCAGCCAAACATAAACCAATGACAACACAAAAAGGTCAAGTCAAATCTAGCATACCTAGGCCAAGTGATTTTCCAAGAAGTGTTGTTTCCAATTTTGTGGGTTCTGCTGTCGAATGATCATCACTTCATGAGACCCACATTTGAACCAAAGCAACTCGGGACGCTCCAAGCGCACTGCGCAAATGACTTAGCATTAGTTTCCCTACCCAAACTTCCCAAACAGCGTTAGCCCAAAGTTCGCCCACGGCAAGCTACCTGGCTACCGGTAGTTCTGCATCGGACCATCAGTGACCGGTTCCCAGATCTACCAGTTCCATTCAGCTCATGAACAGATTCTACAACTGACAAGGGTATGCTTCGATGTCTTGTAATCCTGATACGCCTACTTAGTTGCAAGCGACCGTGAAAGGAAGAACTCCTGAAAACCAGAGAGAATACCTCCATCCAAAGTAGCTCTTGACCATTATTTTTGTGGGAGATTTGATTCTTCAGTTCGCGTACCAGGCTTCAATAGCTCCAGTTCATTGGAGATCTGAATCGTCTGCCTCCGAATAGGAATCACCAACTTCTGCAACTGCACTGCCCAACTAGGCATGTCCATGAGTAGCACCTCGGCAACAATTTGAAGTGCAAACCTTTGAGAAGGGACGAAAGTCAATCATTTTGAGCAGACTGCGTATGCATATGCACAGAGATGTAAGGATATACAGGAATATACAGTACATATAATTACATATTATATATATATAATTCAATAACTCCCTCTCCCTCTCTCTCGCTCTCTTTCATGCCCCAGAAGCTGCGCATTGACACACCCACACTGGTAGACGCAGCACATCATGGAAGTTCTGTAAGTTCTGTCTTTGTTTCCCGATGTTATATATACATATACATTCACACTACAATGGCAGCTTTTGATCTCTAGCTCAACCAGCTGGTCTTCCGCTCCAGTCGATGATCGGGACAAAGTCCCCCTTTCACAGTTGCTCTCAATGTGTCATAGATTTGATTCCTAAGCTCACCACCTTCACCACATATTCAGTTGAACTGAACTCAAGCACATGATCCTTCTATCTGCACCATGCTGCGCCATGCACCAACCAATGCTCCAACAGGTCACAACGAGAAGGGAAGACCTCCAACTTTAGGTCACAAAAAGCGTTCTGGGAGAGGCCAGACCCTCGATGTTTGCAGGTTGCTCTGTTGACCAAGTGGAAACAAATACTCGGCCACTTCGTCTCAAAGCTCACGTCAGCCAGTCTACCTTTTGCACCACCTTCCCTAAAGACTTGTATTGGGGCAGGATGTCTCAGTTCCAGCTACATTGAGTCACAACTGTTGCTCCTCTTTGGCTGTGACCGAATTTCAGCGGAAGTCACTGGCCTCTCCTGTTCCCAGAGCAGTCTGACGAAATTGTCAAAGGGAAACCCATGAATGACATGGAAGCCATGTGAGAGGCAACCACTCATGGCCAAAAGAATATGGCTCTCCAAATCCAAACTCCAAGTTCCTCTGTCAAGACATTACGGACCACTCCACCCCTTCACCAACATTGAACATAAAATGGTCCACGGCACCAGGAGCAAACCGTCCAAGAACTCTGCAAGACTCAAACCTGGCAAGACCAGTTGACATCTTTCATGTTTGAAGCCAACGAGTGTCTTCGTTTGGGGCCCCTGTTTCATGATCTTCCTTCAGTAACCTGGACCAATATCCCGGGCCCAAACCCAATGGATTCCTCGTTATACTGTAACCTTATCAGTGTGGTTCACTGGAATTGTGTCAAACAAACTCGAGAAACGGCCACTCTTGGTGTGGTCCCACTGGCTAGGCTTTCAGTACCTAGCCGTGTGGGTGCCCTGATGTCAGCCCCAAAGTCAACGGGGTTCAATCATGAATAATGTGTACTTGTTGAGTACTGATACTAGCGATGGCCTCCAAAACATGTAGAACCATTATTAATATTAATAACAACCCCATTTGGATTGAACAACCTCTTGCACACCGTGGTCTGCCTGGGCATTCATCAAAGGTGGCAACCCTAGAATTCAAACCATTTTGCCACTTCAACTTTCACCCGCAACATCCTGCTACGGGGCTCCGGCTCCAATCAAGGTGAGTCATCTTTTGGCGAAAGTGACACTCGTCAAGTTCCCCAGTTGACCTGCCCCCTTTGTCTTAACTCGGCTGGTTCCCGCTGCCATGAACGCCCTTCAGTGATCCGACCAAATCTGCAAGCCGAAACTACCAGCTCAGTAGCAAGCTGTGAATGGCCAGCCCCAAGATTATATAGTCCTACGATGTCCTTACGTACAGTGTTAGCAATCAAAAGTGGAAACCACCCCAAGTTGGGGTGAACAAACCCCTTTTGCATCTATAGTCTTTGGAGGCTTCACATATTGAATATTTGTTTCAAACCAGGGGTTTTGGATGATTTAGGGTGGTGACCCTTTCTCGTCTGCGTGCAGAAATTTGGATCCATCCGAGAGTCAGAGAGTGTGTGTGTGTGTGTTTCGTCCATGATACCTCCCTCTTTTGGGACTGGTCCGACCCTTCTTCGAGAGCTTCCGACTTTTGTTCGGCCCCTAGCTTCAGAATATCTGAAAATGAACGGAATTATGCTTTCTGTATTGTCATAAGCACTCACCCTTCTCTACTCTCCGCTCACCAAGCAAGCGGCTGCCACCACCATCCACATCCAAGAGCTCGAACATATCCTCCATGCTGTCAACCTTCGTTTCAGCACTATTGTCATGTGGAGCGTGCTGTCCAATGATTTCTGCACTCCGCGGACCACGTGCTGATTTAAAAAACACACGGAATCACACCATACAGCAAGCTACGAGTTGGCACCCTGCACTGAACCATGGCAGGAAGTCCATTGAAGCGAACCAATTAGAAAGACCAGATTGCATTGCTTTAATGCTGTCTCCCCCAACTTGCTAACTTGCTGCCGAAAGCAACTGTAACTTTCTCCAGGACTGTCTTCGGGAGCACATGGAGAGATACATTGGCCACTTCCTCTCGTGTGATGTAGCCGCTGTCATCCTGACATCTTGCCATTTCAAAGCAGTGTCAGTTGGGTTGCGCCCACAAAACTATAATATATTGTTTCCCGCCACCAGATCAGGCAAAATGGTGGAACCAGGTATCTTTGGAATCGGTGGAATATGGTGGAACTACAGTGTCTTCACAAATCAGTGCGAACTAAGACTAGCGTATTTCGTCTCGGAATCGAATCTCAAATCTCGACCCAATTGGATTCGGGAAGGCAGTCGATCAAACGACCCTTTGCTCGATCGAGCTGATCCCGTTTGGAATGCTGGAGAGCTCTCCCCAACCCAGGTATGCATTTTCAGTTGAATGGGTCAGTGAGCAACCTAGTCCACAAGAATTGGTGAGTCGAGCCTCTTTCGAACTCATGTTGCAAGGGATCTGACGCCAATACATACAGGCCCCCCACCTGATCCAAGGCTGAGAAAATCCCCACCTTATCCAAGGCCGAGAAGATATCTAGCAATTCCGGCAAGGTGGCCTTGATCTGTTCCTTGGTCCTGATGCGAGCGAGCTCTGCCTCTTGTGAGGCATGCTCCAGCGCATGCTCCTCGGCGTTCGTTGTTTAGGCTTTGAGCAACAAAGAGTTGCGGGGGCAGGACTGGAAACCAACATAATTGGAATGGAACAACATGCTTTCGTTCCTAGTGAGACCCCCCCCCAAAACAAAAACACACACGACACATTAAATAAAATATATACAACAAATAAAAGGGCCAACAGGGCCAACCAAAAGCCAACCCAACGGAATGGACAAAGTTGGGTGTCCCGAGTCCAGCACAAAGGTGTCTCATACGATCTCTAATACACCAAATCCTCGACCTGTAGGTCCTGGTGGCCGGTGGGGCCACCTCCCACATCCCAGCATTTACGCCCTGTTCGAACATGAAAATCACTGGTTTGTTGGGGAAAATAGTGTTCCAAAGGTCTATTTTCAGGTTCAATGTTAATCATCCCTGGTCTACAGAATGGTCACTTTGGCTTGTGCAAAAAAGAAGGACGAAGGGCTTCAAACTAGTCTTTACCTCCAATGATTACAGTAAAACATTCGCTCAACCACGTCGAATCCAAAGATAGCACTCGTGGAACGACATAGTTCAACTTACTTTCATGAATCGAAAAAAACATCTGTAAGATGCCACCTATTACAAGGCAGCGGCTCTCGCCCTGTTTTCCAACTGAGACACCACCAAAACTGCCGTCACCAGGTTCATGAGTGCGATCGAGAGGAAAAGTAGGAGCGGCAAGAAGTACACGATGAGGATGGGCTTCGCCATGACAAGTGGGTAGTAAATGTTGGCAATCCCATCCTGATGGCTGAGAAAACCCGCAACACAATGAAATTTCGCGCTTTGTGCGAGACGGCTCACCTGAAGTAGGGGGCATTTAGAATGCCATAGATCTAGAACAAATTTTTCAATACCTCAAGATTGTTGGGGACAAAACTTGTGCATGTGCTGCGTTGTTTGCATGCGCAATCCGCAAACCTCTGTCAAAGGTTCTTTTGTTTGCAAGAAGCGCTCATCATCATTGCGGCAAGCAACACACACACACAGGAAAAATAACAGCCCGAACATGCCCAGAAAAAAGGAACCAAAGGAACCAGCAAACTGCAATAGCATACCATTCGCCATACATGACCATACACATTTTCAAGGTGCGAACGCTTCACTTTAACCTCTTAGGTGGGGCCCGCCCCCTAAAAATACTTATGACCTTTTATGAATATACATGTATAACTATAACTACCCTCACGTACATGCAGCAAACCTGGAGGCTGGGGAAGCGATCAGGCTTTGCACACCTGAGTTGGGCTGATTGGAGCGGGAGAACGCAACCTCCTGCATCGAGAGTGGGGGGACTCCTGCATTGTTTCGCTGAAGTGCATTGTTTCAAGCGGAACTGTTAGAAAACACCGGGTGACACGGTGACACACACTTAGATCCATGCTCGCAAGGGCTATATCAGTTTGGAACTTCCCGTGAGCTAGTTACTGATTACATTAGACTCCATCATATAGGCCTTGACCCGCATAAAACGCAAGGCGAAAGTCGGCGAAAAGTATTCATTGAACAAAGGCTCACTAGCACTTTACGAGGACAGGAGAGTCACAGCTTAGTCAACAGTTGAAAAACCGGGAATGCTTAAAAACTTGGTTGCAGGTACATGAGAGTGATCAGCTCTCACTTCCCGTGCGTCAGGTAGCTTCGTTGGACATGGTCCCTGAACGCAAGGCATGTCCCCCTGCTGAACTGTACGTACTTAGTTGTGTCAGAGGTCCTTAGGGACAGGACTTGACACACACAGAGAGCCGTATCCGGCTCACACTATATAAAAATCGGCGGGGCCGCATAAGCACTTCACTCAAAAGGCCTGATTACCAACCTAAAAAGCCTCTAGAAACGAGAGAAAAACACAGAAAGAGAAGCGAAGGCAAGAGAGAAAAACAGCGGGGAGCAGAAAAGACCTAACAAACGAAAGAAAGCAAGGAGAGAAAGGGTATGTGTGTGTGTGTCAACCCCTGTACCTAAGGGTTCCACCTCACCGTTTGCTTTTTGAAGCTCTTTTTCAGGAGGGGGCCAGCGGCTGACAAGCAAAGGCTGGCTAACAAAGCTATGCTTGTCGGTGGATGCACAGTCTGATCAACTGTGTGTACCTGCGACCAACTTTTGCACAAGCTGTCCAATCTGATCGGTTTGCTTTCATGGTCCTTCATGCTACCACCCCTAAACAGGTTTCCCTCCGCTTTGCAGCCGCTTCCACTTGCGCTTGTCGTGAAACTTGTGTTAAACAATACTTTTCTGCGGACTCATGCGCCTTTCCGTTCCTTCACCTTCCTTCTCAGCTTGGGAACTGAGCTAACTGAAAACCAATGTCAGAGTGTGGGGTGGGGTGGGGTGAACGGCACTTGGCCGGAAGGCACTTGGTCAGAATGTCGAAGTCGGCGTGCCCTTGACTAAAGACTTACCCCGCAACCTAAAAAGCCTCTAGCAACGAATGAAAGACCTAGAAAGAGAAAAGCCCTGGAAGGAGAGACAGCAAGACCGTGCACGAATTACTCAGTCTATGCAGACTTAGCCGCATGACCTGTCATTCTAGGCAAAATGTCAGTGGCCTCTGCAGCATACCGATAATCCAGCGGTGGTCACGCAAAAACTTTGAGCCGGTGGTAACCCCCCTGGAGGGTCACTGCGCTTCGCAGGGATCACACAGCACACCACAGTGGGACGATGCTGCGGCACACACTTAGATCCATGCTCGCAAGAGCTATATCAGTTTGGAACTTCCCGTGAGCTAGTTACTGATTACCTTAGACCTTGACTCGCATAAGCCGCAAGGCGAAAGGTCGGCAAAAAGTATTCTTTGAACAAAGGCTCACTAGCACTTTACGAGGACAGGAGAGTGACAGCTTAGTCAACAGTTGAAAAATCGGGAATGCTTAAAAACTTGGTTGCAGGTACATGAGAGTGATCAGCTCTCACTTCCTGCGTCAGGTAGCTTCATTCGACATGGTCCCTGAACGCAAGCCATGTCCCCCTGCTGAACTGTACAACTTAGTTGTGTCAGAGGTCCTTAGGAACACGACTTGACACTTGACACACACAAACAAAAACACACAAATACAATACAGCGCGCCAAATGAAAACACGTCTCTCATCGTTTTTGCCTTCTTAGGCCCTAGTGAAGCAGCGGAACGCACACGACTGGCCGAGCGTCCAATGTCACGAACTGCAGCAAGGTCAAAGTGGCACGGGGCAAACTGCTGAAGTTCTTTGTAACGATGACTGGCGGGCAGGATGAAAAAAACAATCTGGGAATTGCTAGACATTCGCAACACATTGCCATCCTGAAATGCAACGAACAATCAATGAGATAGTCTATGTCTATGTCAACTGGTTCATGCGGTTGGTCGGTATACCTTCGCCTTCAAAAATATTCAACCATATATTCAAACAGTATACAGTACTAAATCATATGGATACAACTCCAACCAAAGTGCAAAGCCGTCTGCATTGGTTGGTCGGTTTAGCCGGCGACCGGTCAACGCACGGGACCAACCCATCGATACGACCCTGCAGCCTCCGGTTCTCAAACTTCATGGCCCATAGACCACCAAAATGACCGAAAAATGGGGAGGCAACATGAGGCAACTAGCGTAGAATTGAGCCCACTATGTCACTACGTGTTGCATTCTGCAGTGAATGGAATTCAGTGGATTCCATTCTTGCACAACATGTCCAGTCATTTCTCGCCCCCCATCGCCACTTCGTGTCCAGCTTTGTGTCTCACCCGGGAACGGCGCACAACCCAAAAAATCCAAAAACCCGTGCCTGCTGTGTCACTGTCGGCCTGCAACTCCGGATCGCTGGCGATGACTTCCGCAGCGATACAGCCTGACGGCGCGGTATGCGCAGCCCCGGCCCGAGCGGCGTAAGCGAGTCAGTCGAAAAGGTTTGAGACAACGTGATCAATCGAGTGTATCAAACTTTAGAGGTTGGCTGAGTGATGCTTAGAGGTTGGTTGGTTGGTTGGTTGGTTGGTTGAATTGCTTGTCCAATAACATCATAAAAATGGGAAAAAATGCGACCCACTATTCGCAACTGGATCCACTAGATCGTATGGCATCTGACGAGTACTTCTCCAGTTTAAAAGCAAAAGTTGTTTTTCCTATCTAAAGACCTGTCGCCGAGGTCGCTGCTGCTTGATGGACTGACACTGCGACCTTGTCTACAAAGAATCTCAGGCAGTGAGCTGTTGGGTGATGGTATCGGCCGCCGGCTTAGTAGGTCTCTGCCAGCCAGCCGGTCAGTGCATATGCCCTTGCATTTAAACCCATTCGTGAATCATGGGGAATTATGGGCAATTCACAGGTGTACCAGTGTACCAGATATTACCGGTTCTGATTTTATTGGTCCACTAATAATGACATTCATCTATGAAGTTCCATACTGAAGATTGTTCCATATTGTTCCTCACTCCTTTTCTTCCTCCCTTCCTTCTTCCCTCTCTTCCTCCTTCGTCATCACACCGTGATCTGCCCCGGCGTTCATTAAGTGGACGGTGTCGGTGTCCTTTGTGATCCAGGCGCTCCTCGTCCCAAAAAGGACATGATGCTCATGCTGTATATGCCCATGTCACCCGCTTCGCAGTCCGAGCCACCGAAGATATAGAGCCACAAGAGGATCAGGAAGGTCCTGGGTGCACGTGGACCCTCCGCTGCTTTCTGTTGCATAGGATCTGCTGTTCGGTTTGGTCGGGCGGGTCTGAACGGCCTGAAAAAGCGGAGTTCGTTTGCGCCATGAAGTTCAAGAGGATAACATGTTGAAAGTTCACGTTACCCTCCAAAAAATGCTGTAGACACTAGACACCAGACATAGCCCCGTGACAGGTCACCCGAAGATCTGGAATGCGATAATGGAACGATGGTGATGTTGTGTATAGAATCTCCCAGAACATGAGCAACAATGACTTGTTGCCTTTGTTTCCCGCAGCAACGCCCTGTGTGCAGCGGAGCTGTGAGCTTGGAGCTAAGGGGAAGACACGCAACAGGCGAGGCCTCCATCACGAGTAACGGGCCAAGTCTCGTGGAAGCCATCACATCCCAAACGGACAGTAGCCCTGAGACCAAGCGCCACACCACCTGCGATTGAAATAGCTGTTGATGATGATTGCCATGATTGTCATTATGCCTAATTCTCTATACCAAGCCCCTGGAAGGCAACTAAATGAAATGGCGAAGGAGTGAAGCACGTGAACAAAAATCAACTTGAATCAGCACCTTGATGTACCCTACAAGATGCTTGCAAAGGAAAACCGGTGTCGAGATCCCATTCGCGTTGTGCTCAATGAGGGCAGGATTTGAACTGGATTTTGAAACCAACTGCTTGCACTGTGATTCTTTACCGACTTGCAGCTATATATATCCGCAGCTAGCACCCTGCCCTACCCCTAATTATCCGTGCCAATATAATTTCAGGTAGCTACGTCACAGCGTGCATTGAAAAACAATGACATGACCTCAAAAGGGGCCTCCGATAAGCCAGCTCGCAGTCATAGAAACAACATGAAGCACCGAAACACGCATCTTCACTGAAGATTAGACGTTGGTTGACCACCGATAATGAACAGAATAAACTACAAGGGACAGTTGGGGGCCAGGTTTTGACCCACAGCCATTTCAATCCGTGTTGGTAGCACTGTAGTAGCAGGAGTAGGAGTAGGAGTAGTAGTAGAAGTAGTAGTAGCAGTCGTCCTCGTCGTCGGAGTAGTGGTAGTGGTAGTGGTATAGTGGTAGTGGTAGTGGTAGTGGCGGTGGCGGTGGCGGTGGCGGTGGCGGTGGCGGTGGCCGTGGCCGTGGCCGTGGCCGTGGCCGTGGCCGTGGCCGTCGTCGTCGTCGTCGCCGTCGTCGTCGTAGTAGTAGTAGTAGCAGCAGGAGTAGTAGTAAGTAGTAGTAGTAGTAGTAGTAGTAGTAGTAGTAGTAGTAGTAGTAGT